AGGGCAGGACTTGTCGTAGTTTGAACATCAGACTGTGAGAGGACCTTCAAGTAGTGTTGTTGTATGGATCATTACGATACACTGCGATGTGATTCCATGCGATTGTTATTAATCAGAATTACTTTTTACCGTAGCGCGTAACTCCTTAGTCAATAGTTTTGCCTCCGTAACTGTTGTAATATACACTCACTACTCATTTTACTTCCCATTCAATCGTACTACTACTACTTACGTAGTCCGGCACTAGTATTACCCATATTCATCCTTTGAAGCTCTTAACGAGTAGATAAGCTGTTTGCTGCCGGGAATACTCGTAACTCAACAACTTTATTATTCGAGATGATAAACCTCAGATCTTAAAGTCGCCAACAACCACCAACCATCTCCGAACACTCCCCTCCATCAGCATCTTATTTAGCATTAGCCAAAGTCTTGCTGAGCCAGTCCAGACCCTCATAAAGTCCGTCACCAGTCGTGGCACAGGCCGATTGAATATACCAATTGCGATGCCTTAGAGAATGCAATCCGAGTTTCTCTGTAACTTCAGCTGCTGTCATGGCGTTGGGCAAATCCTGAAGGCAATAACGATGTAGTAATGACGATGGTGAAAACACTGATAATGATGTCGAACACTGGAAGAATCAACGTACTTGTTTGTTGGCGAATACGAGGACACATGCATCTCTGAGCTCCTCTTCGTTGAGCATACGATGGAGTTCCTCCTTAGCATCATCGATTCCTGCGACAAGGCATCACAAGTAGCAGTAGATTGTCTTGTAGATTTCTCTCACTATCTCTATCGTTCGAATCGACAACGAAAATGATTCCTTGAGTATTCTGATAGTAGTGTCTCCATAGCGGACGTATCTTATCCTGTCCACCAACATCCCACACAGTAAAGCTGATGTTCTTATACCTGAATAAAGTTCATAAAATGTTAACGTGAAATATTCTCCTACTCGACGGTTTCAACGTTGAAGCCAATGGTTGGTATGGTTGTGACCACCTCCCCAAGTTTCAGCTTATACAGAATAGTAGTTTTACCTGAGCAAACATCGCGTGAGGAACCACGAGTCGAAAAAGATGTGGTACCGGCAGCATCCAGGCCAACCATGAGGATGCGCATCTCCTTTTTGCCGAAGAGATTTTGGAATATTGAGCTCAAGGTCATACCCATCTTGTAATGTTAATACGAGTATAAAAAACTATGAGTTGATATAAACTCCGCTTGATGCACTCAACACAAGAAAACAAGAAAATGTTCAGAAACATGGGAGCCGTCACGGTTGATGCCTATGGTGAAGAACGCCGAGTCCCCCACTGAGTAATTTGTTCGTTCGAAGATTTTTCTCAGTATATCCGCAGGAATCTGCGTAGACGACGTAAAATGAACTGTCACAATACAAGAAGGTGTGCAGATTCCAGTAAGTTGAGTAATTATCGCTTTCACGACGTTGAGTTTGTCTACGAACTGTTTGTGGTAAAACAGCATCACCCCTGCGTGAGAATTCCAAAGCAAGTTGACGAGCTGAACAGATTCAAGAACGCCCTCAGGAGTAGGTCATGGCTCATCCGTGGTACGAGTCGTTCGAACTGCTGTAGAAGCTCGGGGTGCAATATATTGAGACGAGTCGAATGTATCTGGAAACGCCCCAACCAGGATTTCACCCAGACACCTCCACAATGGTAAACGAATACCCTATCTATAAGACCATAATGTCCACAACCAATTCTTGCTTTACCCACTCAGGACTCCTGGACGAGCTTTCCCTCACTCTAAAGGTACCAACACCATTTAATCAAATTGATCTGAAATCCTCAACAGTAAAGAGAGAATGTAATCTCTCATATGCGGCTGTAGCTCAGCTATTCCAAACACTTCTCACTACCCCTCTGAAGTGTGAACCAACCACATTATTGATTCTACACATCACCATCCATTCTCAGCAACCAGGTTCGATCCCTGCACCTCGCAACAATAACACACGTATGCAGCGACAGCATCCGCTTCCTTCTCAACGATTTCAGACACTATTTAACCCTCGTCTCAAAGGTCTTCTCACCTCTGTGATTGGAGGGCATCTATCGGCTTCCATTCCTCATATGGTCACCTACGACGTCTGGGATCTCCAAAACTATATTCATGATCCTGGTTGCGAGTATGCAAAACCAGAAAGTTATACATCAAATTTTTGAGAATTCAAACTATCGTCTCTTGATAAAATAGCGACGACGCAAATCGACTAGTCCTATAAGAGAAATCCCCCCCCCGAAAATGGTTCAATTCACACTTAATCTCCAGGAAGCTTCTACACTTCAACGAGTACGTTCATGCCTCTATAATGCTGGCCTTACCACAGTTATCCTTCAGAACTCACCAACAATCTGCGTATACCGATAGTGACTGGTGTTGATATAGAAGTAGCTGAGTTACATACAAAGCGTCAATGTGGCCCTTCTATTCGCTATACACCATGTTGAACAAAATGAAGAAATAAGATTTGGTCGAGACTTGATCTGGCGCACGCCCACGATTAACATAATCGAGCTTGTAAATATTCGATTCGCCCGCCCTCCGAGCGCTCAGGGAATTCACACACATGCTCGGTGACTCATTTCCATTAAGAAATTCTTATCAGTCGTACTACTAATTAGTTGCTGCGAAAACTGAAAAAAATTCTTTGTGCAAATTGTGTTGTCATGTACATGCGTGCAAGGTGATAGGTCCGTCCCCCTAGTGCTCAGTGTTGCCGCCATGCTCCGTTCACTACGACCTGGTTCGAAAGTCCTTGAGAAATGCTACGACGGGGTTGGAAAATTTGCACATGGTTGACTACATGTGTTGGTGGGTATGTGAAAAATGAGAGCAAATTTTGGGAAAATGTGAATTATTATAATGTTACGGTGAATTTCCGTATTAGCACATCCGAAATCAGAGTCGCGGTTGTTACTGTTTGAGCGCTCAGTTTGTGTCTAATATGCATAAGGGGGTGATTCTAACCCTCGCTGTTTGGGGACAATACGGAGTTACCCTCGTCGACGCCACACTTACTCGTGGTGGGAATATTCGAAAGTCCTCCACGCTTTTCAATCGTGGTGGATCCCTCCGTAGATCCCTACTGCGGTCGAAGGTGATATACACGACAGTGGGCTGTTGTTTCTAGAGTTCTACTTCTTCTGTTCAGAATGTGTGCGAAGTGAGGAGCTTCCCGGGTGTTTACGGTCAGTTTATGCTTCCCGCAGTGCTTTATGAGGTTGGTCGAATTTTCAGGAGATAGTTATGTATATGACCATGATGAACTGGACTGGGAAAGAGGGATGTGGTTCAGAAGGAGCCTAGAAGATGGACGGATGAGCACCGAACGTGTTGATTGTGGTAAGGGTAGTGGAAAACGAATCATCCGTCAGTAAGCATTGTGTAGTTCACGACTAAGGGATGATGATCTTTCCTATTGTAGATCTCCGGAAAAGGGACTGGCATGCGTTGACGAGAAGTGTTTTACAGACCCAGTATGGGAGATGAACATAAGAATCCTGGAGGAAGTCCCGAACAAGCTCGAGAAATTCCATCAGAATTTCCTCTTCCATCTTTTCAACGGCACTGTTTATGAAGATTTCACATGTCGCCATCTGCGTAAAGCTCTGTGTGCACGGTTAGCGGAGGCGAAAAGAAGTTTCCCGGTGGAACAGCCGCACATCCAGGACGATTTGGTGACACGGGTAATGTATCCCAAAGTGCCTGTCACCGGCGTACGTGAGCGTAAGCCTTCTCCAATGGCTGCGGCCAATCTGGATTATCTGGTTCACCATAAGCATAGCACTTCCCGTTTCCACCGTCTGCCATCCCCGGGAGGCAAGCCTCGTTCGGATGATAAACTCCCAGTGACAAGTTATGAGAGTAGTGTGTGATTCGTTAAGCTGTGGTAAACATGCATGAGCCTTGGAACACCCTCTGTTGTTATGTAATGGATATATACTGTAGATGTTCATTGTCGTGGATGCCCAGATGTTGGGTTTTACGGGTCGTTGAAATCATATCTTGCATCTGTGAGTTGGTCTTACCAGGAGCTCTCCGAATCGTTCCTGTGGCACGAAACTTTCAGGGTCCATAGTGTTTGTGAGGGATAGGAAAGTCCTACTGCGACGTTGCTCGTGCGAGACTTCTCGTGAGCGTCCCTCGTCCAGCTAGATGGGGTAGAATGTTGGATTTGTATAGGTATGCAGTCCAGTTGGGTTTTGATGTTAGGTAGTGATAGCATTAGCGATCTCCTCGGGTTCGTCTGTCAGTCTTTCCCCCTTTTGATGACCTACAAAGTCCTCATTGTTCTCTTCGTCCTCTGTGCTGAGCCAACTGGAGGTATACGTGGACCAGAGAAGGAGAAAGGGCATCCTCCCCGACATGTGCGACCAGTGCCTTACAATTATCATGGCCCAGCTGTTGGTGGTGGGCCGGGGCAGGTGATGGATCTCAGCAGAGGACGCTACCTTGATCATCGTGATCGTCGTGATCATCGTGGTCATCGTGATCGTCGTGATCATAGCGGTCATCGTGATCGTAGTAGTCATCGTGACCGTCGTGATCGTCGTGACCATCGTAACATGATCTTGACCCCACAGAAGACCAGGAAGATACGGTGGGCTGATGAAGGGGGGAAGCCATTGACGACGGCCTCTGATGAGAGAGTTGAGCCATCTGTTCGTGATGACAGGGCAATAAAACGTGTTAAGTCGATTCTTAAGGAGAGAGGTCAGAATGTCGGCCAAGTTGAAGAGTCTACTGAAAGCAAGGCGCCAGAGACCTCTCCTGGATCCAAGAATGAGGTTCAGGAAAGAGCGGTATCGACCGATACCATGTATGCTGGGGTAGACCCGAAATCTTCTGCCAGAGGTGAAGTGACTGTGGAGGAGGAAAAGCCGAGAAAGGCGGATCGTAGAGGCCCATTCGTGACGAAGATTATTGTTTGATGTATGAGTGAGTAGCGGTCATGTTGTGAAGATGTTGCTGGCGTGTCCATGATGTTATGATGTCCATATTAATCCTCATGTTTGGTTGCTAAGTCGAATGATATCGTCAATGGACCGCTGCGCCCCACTGCTCTGCGTTGAAGTGTTCACGCTTCCGTATAGCAGGCTCGTCACAAAACACAATCAACTTGATCTTCATGGGGGCAATCGATAGGTTGCGAGTCGACATGATCATCTTCGCCGGTGTTGCATCGGGTCACTTGGACTCTCTCTCTGTAGCGCAGAGATGCCTCCCGATACAAGCAAACTAAAAGTGTCATAATCTTAACTCCGTCTTCTTCAGGCAAATCAAATCGAAAGAAAGGGCTTATCATAAGCAGATTGAAAGCTTCTCCTAGAAGTCTCTAGTGAGTGAGTTCAATATGGGTAGACAGTAAGTGGCAAATGGTGGAAGAATGAGCTTGGAAAAGGCATGACATAGCTGACGAACTTCTCCTGGGGCTGAGCTTGGTAACAATTGTTGCAAAAGACACGTTGTAGGATGAGTTACTTTGGAACGACGAACCGACGGCCACATGGGGGGGGGCGAAACGAAGGTTTATTCTCTAACTTTTCCTCAAGAATCTTGCGTCAAGACGGAGTGTCATCGTGAGATTGTGTCAGTTGGGGATTTTGAATCGATGATGACTGGTTTAGTAGGGAAAGGAACGCCATGGTAGTGCAGCCGTAGCTGATCAAATTCCACTCATGATGAGTTACTCGTCCCACCTCAACGCCTACCCAACGTTGTTGGAGTCGCTCCAATGGAGTGCAAGCCATTCATCGGTTCAAGACGTAACGTTCCCATAAATTCTGCACAGAGCGAACGTCATATGTTTGAATGGCTGCCGAATAGTATCATCTCTTCCCCCTGTAAGATCGGCAGTAATATCGAGAATGGGTTAAATATGGTGGATATTCGGCATACCAATGAGGTTCATTTCGTGGGATTTGCCGAAATACTTCCGCACATTCCCTGAAACTTGAACAGTGCCTTCGCAAAGCTCAGAACTTTGCGTAGAATCGTCGATTCTACCTACAAGCTTTAAGCTCATAAGTAGACTCGTCAAGTACTTGTTGGACGGTCCAACTTGGACCAGTGAAGGACCTTCCCATGAAAGCGTCGACGTCCCGGATTCACTCCATCACCAAGTCACCTATCTTGAGTAGACGTAGTCGTACGACCTGTCGAGAGTTCGGTGACGGATCGATACCCGACAGGGCATCAGCTGTAAGGTTGAGAGCTGCCGACACGTCTGCTGTTGCTCACGATCACGATGTTGCTAATCATTAGGGAATCAAGGCCCTGGCCAAAGGAATCCAGAGAATCTATCACAATCATATTCATAAAATTATCAACTAGCTTCAACCTCAAGTTAAGATCCCATAGTTGTGCACTCTGCACCCATGCTCTTCTTTGCTAGCGAACATCGTAAGGTAAGAGTGAGAGATGCTTCTCTCAGTCATGCTTCCAAATTGACCATCGGGGTGTCAAGAGTATACAATATCATTTCCGACTGACTCTATCGAGAGTGATGTTCGACAACAAATTACCCAAGTACAGGATTCGCATGACATTGAGGGACAGAATCACGCACGATGTAAATGGACCTTCATTCAACTCCTTATTTACGGATTTACTGTAACCACCTATATTGTGTTCAGTAATATGGAGGTTTGGGTGGTTGCCACTGGTTTATCAAACCCGTGGCGCTTCTAAACTTTATCTCCTATATACAACATCCTAGTTATAACACCAAGTCAACCACGAAGGTCAATAAACTAGGGTGTTGTGAAGCCACTCAAATGGAGATAATCTAGATGTCCTCCCCTGAAATTGAAGCATAGAAGTATTAATTGGAAGTGATATACCGAAACTGTCGGGCGAGCGAGGTCAATGAATTTCTCAAGTGCGTGGTATGTTCCCCCCGTCCTTCTGCGGTTCCAATATGTTTATTCAACTGGTTAAGGTTAATGAACATTTCACTTGTGACTCGTATACTGATTATACTATAATAGGCTATGCCAGACTTGAGCGTATCATTCTGTTCCCACGGGGAAAAAGGTCTTAGCCAGTTGTGTTGCCGACATCTTCGAACCGTCTTGTTGAGGGTAGTTGTAGCCATATATAGACCGGGTATTGTTCTCCTGCTGGTATTCAGAGACATTGATCCTGCATTAGCACTCTGTGAGCTACTTCTTGGGAAATGTCGGCTTTGAGGTTTCCTCTGCCGGAAGCATCGACTAGGTTGAAGGAGTGGTTGAAATATAATGATGTAGTGTTGGGTAATAATAATGCAGAATTTCGACACAAAATCTTCACAGTGCGTTGATGTTATCAGGGAGTCAATCACTGGGCAGGCGGAAGGTATTGGATATGAGTGGCTCTCGATACATAGCGACTATGGATCCCGATATTGATGAGAAAGCGTTTCGGAAAGATTCACCTGAGGTCGGGAGATACGACTGGAGGATACATAGGATTTGTTGTCTTAGGAAACATGTGTTGCGGTCGCTTGCGGCAAGGCTGATGTGCTGGAGCGTCAGTTGAAGGGTTTGGATGTCGTTTTGTTATGTGGGGATCAGGTGAGGAAGAAGACATAGAGTGGGTAGTTGAGTCTGTAATTGTTCATGATTGACCAGTGGAAGGTCCCGGGTTCGATTCTGCCGTTTTACAGGTGGCAGTTTGTGAAGATGAATTGCGTGAGAAACCGGAAGGCTCAGAGGAAGCCAGAAGGTGACTATTACGATGATGTGGGTCGGGACTCAACGACAACAAAATTATTTTGTTTCTTTGATGATGGAAGTTTGGTGGGAAAATTAGTCGTTCCCTATAAAGTTCTGAAGTATACGTGAGCGTAGTGTCGGCGCTTCCTATTCGGAGTATAGTTGTCGTCGTTGTAGGTTTATAAAGGACTACGCTCAGGGTAAGGGAGTTATAACGTGGACAGCTATTGTAGTGGTGGATTGTCTGAATGGCACAAGAGCAGTTGGATGCCATAAGGCGATCACATGGTGATAATGTTTGGTTTACATTATGAGAGATTACACACCATTCGGGATAAGAGTGTACAAACAGGGGGTTTCAAATACTCTCAAAACTATCATCGTAAATGACGGTGTGTATACTTTCTCACTCGTTCAGGAGCGACAATTTCTGGGAATACTTTCGCATCTGAGACCTGAATTTAGTATTGTTTGCTTTCCAAAGGTTTCTTCAAGTTCTTTTGGATTACACTTGCTCGACAATCAAATTTCTATTCAGAAGTTCTCGGCAACGATAAAGTTGAGGAAGATCCCCAGACTCTAATTTCGTCATTATCGCTTTGACACCCGTGGTGTGAAAACCCGCACAGGTTCAATCCCATCCGCGAGCATTTCATCGACGCGATAGTCGCTGACCCACACAGTTTGGTGTATCGTTGTGCCGGGAGTTTCTGTATAGATGATGTTATGGGACCAGTGAGTGGATGGGGCGAATCTTGCAATCTTGCTCGATCTTGCATTTCCTCAGTTTGTGAGGAAAATTGAAGGGGGAAGCGACAGTGTGATGGGCCTTCCTCTTGGAATGTTGGAGGAATTATTACTGGGCAAAATTAGACCATTTTTATGAGTGATTCTGGATAATTATTTGCACGCACGCGCAAGTGTGGAAATTGATTTGACGGTTTTCATGTATCGTTTCTGATCAGCAGATGTGAGTTGTAGTTGACAGGTTTTATGGGAGAGGGGTGGTGGAAAAATTTTGAATGTTTTTCTCGGGTGAAAATTTCGCTTTACTTCTTTATCAAGTATACACGCTATCAGAAAACAGCTCTCATGAGGGGCTAGTTTCATTCATCTCATCTCCGTTCGGTCCGGTCTGTTTACCACTGCATTGTTTGGTGTGATCGGGGTAGCGTCTGTGTGTGGCTTTTTATATCGACCGTCCCTGGTTCGAATCCCAGGAGTGGCATTTCCACGTGTTGGGGCCCGGTTTCATTAGGATTTCTGCTGAGGATTTGTATGTCCACAGTGATGAGTGGACATGCAAATATGTACGGGGATCGTTGTTTGAAAAATCTTCACAGTGCGTAAGGAGATATCTTTCTCTATTACATAGTTCCAAGCTGGTTTGAATCATCTCGCATGTTGGGCTATGGATGGTATTCGGATGTTGAAGGGTTTAACAGAGGTTCCTTGTCACTCGTGTTGGCTTCATTTTATTTTTTCTGTAGTTAATTTGATTCTGGATCGTATGTTTATTCGGTTGTTTGGTGGTGATGCAAGTGGACAGGAATGAACCTCGTTTGAATCTTGGTAGAGGGGACCTAAAGATACCTTCGACGGGTCGTCATAGTCGAAGGCATCACCATCGGGCGAGTCGGTCGAGGAGTGTTGCTACTTCTATAGGAGCACAGATGAACAGATTGGAAAAAATACAAGAGCAAGTGGAATTCTATGTGAGTATCTTAGGTTCATGCATGCAAGATACGGATCAGGTCCAATTGTTGCTATTGTTGTTCAGTTCTCGGATGCGAATCTCCGTCGAGATCGTTATATTACGGAGGAATTAGCGCAGCGCGATATACAGGGGGACGGCCAACCGTGGGTCGCGATTGATGATATTATGAGTTGGGGTGAACTGCGAAAATTAGGGTAAATGACAATAATAATTTCGGAAAAATAGTTATATTTTTCCAGATGCACTGAAACGGAGTTGCTCGCTGCTATTGATAATAGTGAGGTATTGGTATGGAGTGAGAAGGGGTAGGAAAAAGTATCTTGCGCACGGCGAAGATTTTCCATTATTCAGGGGGAAAAGGTATGTGAGTCGTAATTTCCGGCTTTATCCGATGCTGGGCAATATCATAATCGATGGACAAGTCGCCGATTTCGAGAGACGGACTATTTATATGGAAAATTTACCATATAATGTTGACAGGGAAATGATCAGTAATAACATGGCGTTGAGGAAATGCAAGATTTGCAAGATGAAGAGGGATGAATTAATATCCTCATAGACGACGGCGACAACGAAAGGTCTTGTGGTCCTATCGCTAATCCGATCGATGGATATCACTTTCGCTCTACTCACGCATATCAGTAGTTGCTTATTGCGTCCTATAGAGTGATCACTGCCTGGGGGGCGTTCGCTATATCGACTCCTGCATCGCCTTTTCAGTAGAAGTCGGAGTTTGAATATTGAAAATTGGAGAATGGAAAAACGAGTTTGCATGAGTGTTTGTTTCAGAGAGTGTGGCTTCTGGTGAGAAGTTTGGTTTTGCTGTTACAGTTGATTATATTGCGATTCCAAACCATCCACGAACAGGTGACTAAAAATAACAGGTGCAGGGATCGAACCTGCGTCGCCGTGTGTCAGGTGTGAATCTTGCATACTGTTTTGTGGAATATAATACGGAGGAAGAAGCCCGGACGGCGAAGAGGCAATTGGATGGTAAATTAGTCTACTTTGTATTTACATTAGATATGCTTTTCTACAGACTTACCGTTTATGCAAAATTTATAACGTTTTTGGATTTCCTGTCCGTTTTGAAGCATGTAGAGAAAATTCCAAAAATTTCGGGTGAAAAATTTGTGCGCAATGGTTAATATCCAAGTCGTTTTTCATTCGTCTTTAGGATTTTATGCAACTTTTCCATTATCAATTAATTTTTAGGGAGATGGCCAAAAGATTGGGAGATCCGCTCGGACGGGCGGCGTCTGAGAGTAATCACTGGGGGGAAATTTAGGTTTTTGCGGGAAACATATTATAGGTAAAAATGCGGGGTGATGGGATCGATCCGGGGACCTTTCGGTTGTCAGAGCGAAGAACGTGAATAAGATCGACAATCATCACGCGTATGCAGAGGGATTCGATCCGACGAAGTGGACAATAGTTGATGATGAAGAACCGAGGTGAGCGGAGGTCCCTGGTTCGATCCCCGGCAGGGGTGTTTTTAGATCCGAGGGTAGCACTAGTACGGTACCGCCACCCGGGAAGGAGGTGCGGGAGGAAGATGATCGGAAGAGGCGGAAGGTCGATTATGATGATCCATCGATAACGGCATCAGAGAATTATGGAGGTATATGCGCGCAGGGGGTTGAAATTTTTTTAGCGTTTGAATGCGCGGCTTCGATTTCAGTATCGATGTATATCTGAGATGTTTGATACAGGAATTAGCTCTAAATGTGATGTAGGAAAAACTATCTGATAAGGATTGCGCGTCTTACATGTCGCGTACTGTATTTTATCGGACCGATTCTCAACTGTTTCGCATCTTCTACCATGAAAAAATCCCAAAATAAAACCGCTTTAGGAACCATACGGCATGACGTCGGGCGATCTATAAAACTTATCATTCATAAAAATGTGAGGATATGAATATTCATATGTCTTTTCGTTTCAGCTGCAGTGCCGTCCGCCGAAAGTTCGTCCTCTTCTAATTTGACATTATCTGCACGCGTCAGTTCATCATCAACATCAATCTCCTCGAGTGGGGACGATGAATCTTCCTCCTCTTCCTCCTCCTCCTCGTCGTCGTCCGATAGCTCCAGTTCTTCTTCCTCATCCTCATCCTCGTCATCATCGTCGCCGTCTTCTTCGGGGTCGGAGAGTGAATCGGATACACAGTACGGCGCGGGGGTGGCGCCAAAACCCCAGGATGATATATTTAGTTATGCTGATACAGTGAGGCTGTCTGGAATTTTTCTGAGCTGAAATTTTATTTTTTGTGTATTTTTAGAATGAGAAGATTCAACAGGAAGTGCCATCGGTTATAAGGAAACTTTCGGTGAGTGAATGAATGTAATCAATCGATCGATCGGGCGCGCGCGCTTTTCGCAGTTGCTTCATTTAACTGGATTACCACCGGTTAGTTTGCTGCAGTTGCGGCAATGGGCAGGGCATAGTACAGTGACGCAGCATGTTGACATTCGCCCTCCGATAGGAGGTGAGTTTGGTTATTATGCGGAAGGTCTCGGGTTCGATCCCCGGTAGTGGTATTTTATTATTTTATCAGATAGAGGTGGTAATAACTGGGAAGCATACATAAGGTTGCGGAGTAAAAAGGAAAGAGACTTTGCCGCTATGGATTTGCAGTAAGATGGTAGACGATATTTTGGATAATCGATTAGATGGGCGAGCGCGGTTGTGGCGATGAGGAATAGGTGTGTTGTTTGGTTTAGAAATTCGGGCCCGTTACTGACTGTGAATGGATTGGTACGGCCGGCGATTACTAAGTTGGATGCTGCGGAGTGCACGCAGTATTGGAAAGAGGTAATGGGATGGAGAATCTTCCGGCTGCGCAAAGATACCCGCGCATTGTTGGAAAATAGGCGCATGGTCAACTGTGGTGCATGTTGATGAAATTTTGGGAAGTTTTTGTTGTAATACGTGTAGTAGTGAGGAAACTATTAATTCCAGCTGGATAGACTTCAAAAATAGTCGTATCTTTGGAAGGTGTTGGACATGAAGAAGGAGAAGGGTGGAGGTGGTCATCGGATGGTGGTGCCGCCGAGACGCTTTAAAGGGGCTAAAGAAACTTTCCATGTGGTGGGTCGAACCTGGGACCTCGCGAGTGGTATCCGTGAATGTTACGTGCTCAGCCATTCCCACGGGTGATCGGTGGCCCTCGAGGAGCTGATGATGACGGATGTGGTGGAGGTAAGCCGACTGCGTGGACGGATTGTGCAAGTGGGAATAAGGAGTGGAGACCGCCGGGAACTGGGAAATTGTAATTCGAAAATGTGATGTGCCGAGATTGAACCTGTGCGGGATTAGATATGGCCTCAATCAAACAGAGCGCCGATGCGCGGCCCATTTGCACCGAGTGAGCATACAATCTTTGGTGGATAAAATGCGACAGCAGAATCGAAGACGTCGCCCCGGAGGGTGGAGTGTTGCTGGTGGCGGATCGAAAGGTAATTAAACTTGAATATTGGGGGAGAGCGGAATCGAACTTCGCCGAAATTTATGAAGATTTCTATTTCGTCCAACTTTCTGTTATTCCCTTCATCATTCAGTACTCGTTTGGGAATTTGATTCGGATTGGTTTAGATGCTGAGATTAAGGAGTCTTCGTTCTGGGGTGGATTCAATAGCGATTTGATCCGTTGTGGTCAGAAAGCAAATGCGAATCCATTATGCTGATATCTCTCGGGTCGTTTTTACTCGTGTGTAATCGTTCGTTCAGGCAGTGTGGCTGGTGGCGAGGGTTCGGTGAGGGGTAGGAGAAGAGGTGCACGAGTCGCCTCGGCAGTTGGTGGTGGCGGACTGGCCTTTGCCTCGGGGACTGGTGTTAGGCATCCGGGAGGCCTGTATAAGAGGTATGTGCATGCGTACTGATCTCATACCACTCCTCCGCTACATCACAAGGTTTCCTTTAGACGTTTGCGCAACCACCTGGTCATGCAGCTGATCCGCTCCAATAAGCCGATACCGCCTAGTAGTAGATTCACGGCACAGGTAGGCGTTGAGGAAATGCAAGATTTCAAGATTCTATGCTCAGGACTATTTGGCGGCTGAGCGGTCCCTTACGTGGAGACGAGCCAGAGATGGGGTATCTGGTGTGGCGGAGAGAGGCCGGACTAATTCTCATGATGAGGTGAGGTGGTTTCGGGCGCGGGTTCGATGAATGGTCGGGCGACGTTCTTCCCTTCTGTGGTATTATTTTCGGCGAATCATTCAGATGTATAAATATGCTAGGGTTGGTCGAATGTCGAATATGTGGGATTATTGACAATTTCAAGTGGTTATGAATTTTGTGGCGCGCGAAAAAATCTCTGCAGAATGAAATGCCGACTGCAAAGGGAGGAACCTCGCCGAGCAAGTCGAGTGTCGCCAAAGCAAGTGGCTTAGTTATGAGGGAAGGAGGTGCACATGTGAGGGATAATAACGTGAGTGCTGGGAATGGAAAGGTGGTCGGTTCGATTCCGGCATCGATTGTTTTTCGTGTCTTAGCTACCTCCTGAGGGCGCATCCCGCAACGGTAGAAAGTCGTGGGAAGATCGGAAGCCAGTTCAAGCGAGGAAACGTCAAAGGCGACAGGGGAACAATAACAGGTAGGAAACGGCTGTTGGTTTGGGTGATGGGACTGGTTGTAATTAGTCCGGTAAATTTGCAATCAGCAGAGAGCAGGGGAGGCACCAATGGTAGCAATCGAGCTAATGCGAGAACGCGAGGAAGGAGGGAACGAAGGAAGAGGCAACAGAGGGCTAAGCAGGAGGAACAGATGAATCGACGACGTTTGTTTTAATATTAGAGTACAACTTATGTTTCTTGAATGGAAGATAGACTAGTGTTAGCGATGAGGGGTATGGTTTAAGTATTGGAAATGTGGTATGTGAAGTTGAGTGAATGATATCATCGAGGAGAGGTAATGGCCGAAATGAGAGCACATAAGAAATAATATTTAGCGTTCCGAGCATCACCACCGCAACTTTCCTCGTGAGAATTTACGTCAGATTTCGTCCCTGGAAAGGTAGCGCCGACCGGATATGTTTAAATGGGAAGAGGATGCATTCGGGTGTGTTTTTTAACGTCGCTCAATAACCAGTGAACCAGCAGATCCTAAAGTACTTCGAGATTCCACCTTATAAAACAGCACGGCTCGATCTGCGGTACTTTTCCAGATGAAAATGTGTGTGTTATTCGCATTCATTGAGCATACACGGACTAACATTGAGAACTATTTCGAACTATCTACTTGAGCTCTTGGTCATTATTGAGATGAATAACCATAAAACCAGGCGTGAAAGTCATAAAAGTTGCACAAGTACAACGCATCGGATGGACGGCGAGAGGCAGTATGGAAGTCGTCAGGGATGAATTCACGAAGTTGCAATAGTGATGTTGCTTGCAGTTTCGAAGCTAGACACGTACTACCACCTAGAGTTATTTATCTGAGAATCAACTCGCATCATTCGATATTACAGGGCTGAACCACTCAGGAGTGATTACCGTTATTCGATAGAGCCTGTATATGAATTCAATAGCAGTTACGGAAATGGATAGATGTTAGAATCACATTTGAGCTGAAAGCTTCGAAGTTTAATTATCGACTGTTGTCATATATGCTGAGAATGCTCTAATAATGAGGTAATGTCAATCATCCTGAACAGAGAAATAAATTCTTTTCTCATGATCATCATGTGTATGTTGATGTTGGTTAGTGTAACACGGCGGGTATCCTCACATCAGATCAAAGTGATACACAGATCAAACAACGAATCAATGGAATTCGAGATTACTACGGTGGAGCTGATAATAAGGGCGAATCTAATTCCTAGCGGATATGACTACATAATATCATAATATGATGATCATACTGAGCTACTCAGGCAATCCAAAGATTTTATGCTATTCCGTATTTCATCTCACGTACACACTCATTCGTTGAATCGTAACGAGTAATGAATTCGCCAACGCATGCCCAGACGTAATTCTGATGGGGACACTCAAAGCACATGGTCATCAAAGCCCGCCGACACGTGGCATCTGAATAATATAAGCAGTAAGATGATTCAGTATAATACTATTCGAAGAGAAAAATAATACAAGTCGAACAAATCACTACGGAATAGATGACTGCGACTACTCTTAATGGAATGCAAACAGCACATTTCTCCCTTCCCTTAGATGAATAAACCTCAACACAACAAGAAGAATAACACTCAAGAGGATATCGCTTTCTAGCCAACTTGAGCTCTATCAACTGTGATACCAGTCCGTCTCGATGTTTATCGGTACCTAACAATAACAATATAGTAAAGCATGAATGCATTTAATATTATTACTTGTGGAATCCAATATCGTTGGCCTTCTCCCTGAAGCATTGACGGCACATCATAAGGCCGTACTTGCGGATAAGACCGTGCTGGTTGGAGCACACACGGCACTGACGAGAGCCAGGCCCGAAGTTACGAGGACGAGTCATGTAGAGATCCGGCATAGTGGATTAGGTTGGGTAGCGAACTCTCTGATGGAGGACATAATCCGTAAGATCTATCAGCATCACCCCTAAGATACCTCCCAATGACTAATAACAGCAGGACGACGCAGATCGATCTAACGCCAAGACTGCCTCCTCAACAGGTCTCTGATCCTCTACGAATAACCGTATCACAGTCAGACATGACCATCCAAGGCTCTACCTCCCTAAGGGCCTCTGAGCACACCAAGGAGAATGGCAATCGATTGCGCTATAAAAGGGTGCATAGATCTGAGGAAGTGTGAGAATGCAAGATTACTCAAGATTCTTACCGACAATTGCCTTTGACTGAGAACGATGACTATCTCGTGAATTGAGTATTAACCAAATAAATAGTGAAATTCACAATCGGCGACTTCGATAGATGTTGATTTCTCTACAATTTTTTCCGCCCGAATTGTCTTACCTCAACTGATTTGTATGATTGATATCAGGTTACAACGTCGATGGTTAAAATAAATGTCAATCTCAGTTTACAATGAACATTACTCACCCGTCATAGTAGTAATAGTAGTAGTAGTAGTAGTAGTAGTAGTAGTACTAGTAGTACTAGTAGTAGACCTCCTTGAGGACGGCCTCAATAATAAGAGATCCTTGCATCATAATCCGCCATACCGAAGTGGACGTCGATGTGGTTAGACCAGCACCTAATGGACAGAGGTAAATGTAATAGGTAAGTCTACCACCATTCCAGTTACAGAGTATGTAAGGTATAACAGAAAAACGAATGGAAAGTTTACTTATCGAGGGAATTGGGGGATATAATTTTCTAGGGAGAATATCGAGTCAATTTGGAGATCATTTAAGTTCCCTGGAGAATAATCGCTCGGAATGACTTTGATGTACAACTTCATCATCATCATCCTCTCTGCAAATTCACTCGGATCAAAGATAGTTCTTCTCGTTACAGCCACGCTTCTGTGCATTCGAACAGTTACAGGGTAATCGAAATTTATTGGCCTGTTCTCTGAAGTTGGGCTCAAATTGAAGGTGTATTTTCATATGAATGATTCGAGATGACAGCTCATCCAGGGTTTTCAGACTCCATTTTGATCTCAACTTGTATGACCGTCCTAGAAGGGTTGATGGGCGTATGATAACGAAGTCAGCAACCTGAGGCTTATGGTGGGGTCGCTATTGCGTGTACAGGATTATCTATTGATTTAGAAGGGATTCAAATAGTATTGAGAAAGATCCAGCTGTGAAAAGTATCTTCGGTCGACCTAGACAAGATTCGAAATAGGCCCAATAACACATCGATTATTCCCGAGCTCAGCTTAAAGCTCACGAGGCTTCGTTCGCCTTATCTGGGTAGATGAACCAGCTGGTTACTTGAACGTATCTAGTGATATGATGGTAACCTCTGATGTGCTCTGGTATGTGCATCGGGAGGCGACATTATGATCCACTACGAGCAGGGATTGCGATGCAGTATATAATAGATCAGTATGGTATATAGATATCAATAGACGTGTGGGGATATCTCCGGGAATCTTATGGGTTTGCGTGCACCTGATAAACTGACGTATGCGATAGGTCGGTGATAGGAACACGACAACACTCTCATTTCTATGACATGTGAGTATTAGTATCTATCATCTTGGAGGATTTAATGTATTGAATATTAGTTGTTCCATCACGATCAACTCATCAACGATTCTTATACCGAGAAATCCTCGTTGATTCGATCCATGCTCGATCGCTGTGCCAAGTACATAACCCAACTCAGAGCTCATTATGAAGTTGCTTGTTGCAGTTCACATAAACAATAAGTCCAAATAGCAATAGTAGCATTTTTCGGCGGATGATATGTACACAGTGATGCAAGGCGAACAAGTTGCCCGTCAGAACAATTCTGAGGTTGATGTTATCGTTCCTCACTATACCTTCCAGAAACCTATTTGGTGGTTGAGGTCGGGAGTGAATAAATGATATTCACGACTATGGACATCAATTTTGGGGTGCTGATCGAATGGAGAAATTGATTTCGAGGACAAGGACATCCATCTCGGGTTGCGAATCCGATGATGCAGATTTACACTATGCAACAGCCGCGCATACTGCTGGAAGAGTAATGTAACTCCGCAAGGCATTCAAATTATTTTCTACTTGTTTGCTACTGAGTTACTAAGTATCGACTGTCTGGAAATTCAATATTATTTCATTTAGCCGCTGAGAGCTTCACCCTAGGATCAATTATTATGAACAAAAATGCCGAACAGCTACTCAGTGGAGTAGACGCGCTATAATATCGCACCCAGTTAGCGTTCTGAATAGCACTATCTCCTTAGGATGATATACTCGGAACCCAACGACTGAGTTGAATTCCTCATACGAGCTCTAGGATATGCAGTAAATGTACAACACTCATATTGCACATGTAATATATACGACCCGAATACGTTAGTACACCTTCAACACAACAATGATCGACACCAGTACACCAATAGCATGTGCCACCTCACGAGTGCGCCTCAACTTCCTTGGTCTTAGTGCTCCCTTGTTGTTCAGGTTCCGGACCTTCTGGATCGACGACGCTCTCAGAATCTGATATGACTGCTGTCTCAGCGAGGTGAAGAATGGTCACTTTTACTGTCGACTCCACCCTGTTGTTGATCATTCGACCTCTCTGCTGCACCAGGCTCGGGCGCATCCCGATCTACCAGAAGTATAGCGGACAAACCTGACTCGTATATGCTACTGGAACGGGCATGGTTCATTGTTGACTTCCGGGATATCAACTCGAATACTGAACCCGGTGGCTTAGCACCTATGGGGCAGTTATCAGCCGCCGCAACAGATGCAGCAATAGTTACCTATTGTTATATTAGTATTCGGAGCACTGCTAGTATTGGGGGTATCACTTGGACTGGGAGCATTTGTAGTAGGGCTTGGGGTGCCCGTGGTAGTGATACTAGTGCTTGGGTTGGTCGTAGTAATGGGAGTAGTAGTTGGAGTACTCGTGGTAGTAGTAGTGCTTGGGGTGCTCGTAGTAGTGCTACTAGGGGTACTAGTAATAGAGGTAGTAGTCGTGGTAGTGTTGGTATCGACTACAGTATTGTTTTTACTATCAGCCTGAGGGAGCGTGCTATCCCAGTATTCTTCTGGATGTGGTTGGTCATTATCACCAGGTCCTGAGTGTGGAATGAGAAGAGCAAGTAGAGACTATTCCTACCCGATGCATTAGTGCTCTTCAATGTGGTCAAAACCTTATGAATACAATCATGACCCTACCACATCGGAAAGCAGCACCTTACTTTGGTATTAACCTTTAACCTCACCAATGCCTTAACAGTAACAAGGAGGAATGCAATGCTTAGTAAAGACCGATTGAGTATCATTAACAAGTATTAGCTACAGGATTAGTTTAATTGGCATATGCCACACACTAACCACCATTGGCAACGACCTCATCTGAATTAAGGGCGCGCGCTAAATACTCGTGCACAATTCATATAGCGCTCGCCATGATTCTACAAGGTAGGCTCTGCAAGCACGTCTGATCGTGCTAGGAAGGACGTCTCATTCATAAAGAGTGTTTTAAGTATTCGTTTTGTAACGATGAATATATACTTAATCTGTTATGGAAGAATCGCTTCCAAATGCGTCATTCCAGAGCCCTGTTTTCAAACTCAAACACGCACAAGGATAGAAATGATAGTAGCATCAGCACTGACGAGCATTACGATGATAAGTCAATGTTAACGACATATATATTATCACGCGTGCCGATCTGAGAGAAAACACTCCAAATTGGCATCATCTATCGCCACGTCGCGTCCCCTCACTGGTTCTTCCTGAATCGTCTTTTCTGATTCCGTCACCTCAAACTTGATTGGCCCATTAGCGTACTTCTCTGCAATTTCATCTGCTACCTTGAGAACATAACAAGTTGACCAACCATCATCATCAAAGGGATCATTCTAACGCACTGTGAAGATCTTTGATGACAACAGTTGAGCGTAACGTTGCTTCCTCGACGTTACTTCATCAGCTGAAACAAGAAGTACAATCGGAACAAGTGTAACTAGAGGTAACTCACCATCAATAAGCGAGGGCTGTGCACTGAGATCAAAATAGTTCTGTCTGGCCCGATCGACAATACCGTACACATCCAGTTGGTTTGCTGCCTCCGGACCTTATATGTGGAATGAGCATCAAACACATGGTAGACTCTTACCCAATTGTTGAAGTATTGGGATTATCGAAGTGAATGGAATAGGACATTCCTAATACACAACTGTTTTAGCATCAATGGTGGGACCATCCTTACCTCTTCTACTTGTGGTGTTACCGGATCTAGTAAAGGGCTGTTTCCCGAAGGCCCCACCACAACAGAGGGTACAGAAGACTGATAATTATAAACATACCAAAAACCAACAATCTCAACCTCCTCACATTCACTGGTTTAGGCGATTGTTGTTGTTGCTCTACTCCACCTTGTTGTTGTTTGGACACTATCGGGCTCGGTTGTTGGGGTGGTGATAGTGGCTCGATTGGAGGAGGAGGAGGAGGTGGCGGTGGGGGTGATGTTGACCCTGCACGGAGAGCTGCGGCCTGTCGAGACTGAGAAAACATCAATAATTACCAACTTGAAGAAGCCTGTAATAATAGTAAAGAATTGAAGTGATTCCAAGAGACAGTCTATTGCGATTGGTTGAGTGTTCGATAGGGATAATTTGAGGGAAATAAGGTATCAAAACCTGATACCACATCCTAGTACTGTGTTTCGACTAAGGCATGTAACTGTACAAATTCATGGCCTCCACCTACACCAAATTCACTTATATTGGTAGAACTATTTGAGGAGTTTTATGTACGATAAGGACACCCTCCTCCTGAGTTGTTGATGTTGTTTTTGAGCTACACAGCCCTCCTTACATCGACTTCCAGGAATTTCTGCAGTACTCTTGTACGAACATCTGGCTCGATAGCTAACACACCGTCCATGTACCTAGCAAGTATATCTACAAGGGAAGAGGAAGTGCACTCACGCTTGGAGGCCCTTCTGGCGTTCCTCGATGAATTGAGGGTCCATGGTACCCCATAACTTCTTACTAGGGATCTATAGAGATATCGATTAAACTGTGAATAGTTACATAGTGTAAAAATAACGAGAATACGTTTAGTAAGATAAGTTGATATTACTGAAATTGAAGGACTGCTTTACACCCCACAAACCGGTATATACAAACATGTGTTAACTCCTGCTACGAATTGAATTGTCACTCAGGTTTCAAATGTCATACCCCCAGCACTCCAGATGAGTACCGAAGTGCTCATACGAATCGGATGTTTATTATATATGAGATTGCCTACCTTAGGTATGCGATCGGGATATTTCAGCTTGAGATGATCATGAAGTTCCCTTATTTCACGATACCTCCTACTAACCGTCCACTTGTCACCATTAGCCAGGTTGGAGACCTCTATGAAGTACTCAGTGTAACTGATCGATGATAAGCAGCTCATATTGAAGAATTAGAAAAACCATAAATCGATTTCGTTTACTCCTGCGAAATAATGGGAAACATAATTGCCGCTGCCGGTGGACACTGCGAATGACATACGGATTTCGATGATATTGGTAGTGAGCAATGCTAGTGCCACCTCAGGGAAGTGAGTAACCTTCTTCTCAAGAAAGCTTTATCAGAATCGATACTCAATATATTTCAGTACCATAGATCGTCGCAAGAAGGATACAAATAAGGTACTCCCAAAGAACGACTAGTGAATGGATATGCAATTTCCCCAAGATCCAATCCAATTCGCATATTGTCGCTAACATTACGACTAACAGAGGACTACGCGTGCTGTGCGTATTGAACTTGGTTGAGCGTGGTTATCAGAGTTTACCCATCCTGGGAGTTGTTCCCAATGAACTTGGCCTTAAACCTCGGTAGCTGATAGGATGTCGACACTCCGGGAACGTACATTGTAGTGGAATAATAAAACTTATTTTAAGAAACGTCAGGTGCCGGGATCGAACCTGCGCCTTCTGCAATAACTCAACACCATTGAATCAGTGTACCATCAACATACAACATGGTCATAGTTAGACGCTATCATCGTCGCCGCCTCCCTGAGATGCCATTCTCGTCCGCATGGTGTTCTGTAGCAGACGTGGGGGCTAATACGAGGTTTCTATTATTCTCATTAGATGTTGTTTACCCGTATTGAATATTTTTAGAGCTCTTTCGAGGGACTCGATTTTCCGTCCAAGTGAGTCCACCTTTTTACTTGAGTTTTCCACCAACATCGAGAGCTGAACTATATCTCTACGTCCCATCTGGGTGGTACCTGTCAGGAAGTGCATACAAAGTTCACAAGTATACAGGAAACCTCTCCACAACATTATTGAAATCGCCCGAGTCCAGAGGCTGTTGAGAAAAGGAGTGTGCCGTAGTCTTACTAACGAGCTGCATGCACGATGCTAGGAACTCAGTGAGTTTTATTTCTCCCAGTCCTGAGGGATCCATTAACCTGAACAACTGTTCAGCATCTTTCATAGGTATTCCCAAAGTCTCGAATTTCTCCTGGACCTGATATACACGCTTAAGGGTTGATAAAAAATCGTTTCAAAATTCACTTCGCGCATTCGCCACGCCGCCCGAAACTCCTCTTCGCTTAGCGTGCCGGATTGGTCAACATCAGAAAGTTCAAAAATCCTCCTCAGAGAATTCGCAGCAGACTTCTTTTCCTCCTCTTTTTCCTGTTCAACTTGCTCCTGTGTACCTTGAAATCTTGCAATCTTGCATTTCCTCAACGCTATCATCACCATGTACGTGTTGCTGTTCCTAATGTGTTCTCCACGATTACTCCTACGACAATATTGAGAAGACCGTAAGTGGTCGATAGGATGAGTAGAATAAAAAGCAGACCCAAAACTGGCTGACGATAGACAATCTAATGTAAAGGCTGATCGTTGATGACAAGGTGAGTATCGTACATGTCGGACGATGCTATCAGCCCAGTTATCGAGGGTTATTATTTGCCATAGTGTAAGCATCGACTTAGGTACTGTTCCGAAGTAGGTCGAATAATCCCATTCGGTGCCTGCAAGCCAAGATGATTACGATACTGTGAAAATTGCATGTATAAATTTATCATGGAATTATGCAGGTGCTGTACCAATAACAGTATTATATTATTGTTCCCAATTATGCAATACTCAATGGAGTTCTAGACTAGAACTCCATTAAGTATTGCATAATTGCATAAGGGGTATACTAGAACTTCTACCCCTTTGCCTCCTAGTTCATCTCATCGGTTCGCATGAGTGTAGTAGATCACACGTCCGAATCAACCCACACGCATGGTGATGAAGCAATACCATCATAAGAAGATGCTCCGAAGTATGTGCTGTGATTATGACCAATTTGTATCGTTAGGAAGATAGCACAAACGTAGATAAGGCAGACCAAGAAGACAGCTACCCAGGCTAGGGTGCGTACCTGATTTCTATCCTACCCAAATTACTACACTAAGTAATCCTACACTATGAATAAGGCCTTCAACGATAAGCCAGAGTTCTTTGAACATCCTCAATAAGCGTACAAAACGAACGAGTCTCAACATTCGAACCACTCGCAAAGCTGTCTGATCATACAAGAACAAGAGAGGGAAACATCATGCACATGCTCAACAACGAGTATGAATGACAATAGGCAACTTCTGGGGATATTCCTGTTGACTTTCATACACTCCTAATCTAAGTCGTGGGAATGATACAGTGTTGTAATATATGTTAGCTTTCCTCAGCTGCTGAGCTCAAGAGTTTCCTCGAATATTATCAAGTTAACACACGAATTCGGGTAGAAGTGTACAGAAACTTCCAAAATGTCCCGAGGATTGTCACCAAAACATTTACTCAACCATATGCATTGAATCAATTCCCCCTACACTGAGATGATGTTCTCACCAGAGCTCTGACGTCAGATGCAGCACATTCGCTGACTAGAGGTAGTATCCATGTATCAACTATGGCGAGCCAAACCTGATAAGAAGGTATTACAAGGTCATGATAGAAGCCCTGACCAATCCGAAATCGATGAGGTTCCATGGGTCCATGAAATATGATAGTCTGTGAGTCTTGAGGCGTAACCCCATCTCTAGGAGGAATACTATGGTGAAGATGTTTTCACTGATGTACCAAAATAAACGCTCCTAAAAATAAGTCAATACGACCTTGCGAGTGTAGGGAGGGAAGAATATTTTCATACTACTATCCATAATTTATGAACATAATTTCACCAGTTATGTATCTTCCATGTCTGTTCATAAATTGTGAACAGATATGAAAAAAGCGATTCGCATCCGTCATACCGCATCAATATTCATCTAAAATAAAACGTTCAGGAGATAGGAGTAGTGCGATCGGAAACAATTTTATATAGATCAGCATCATACCATCCATCCGTCACTTTCCAAACCCTCTGCATACCTGGATGTCTTCCGACACACTTTTGCATTTCTGCGCTTCAACGCTACTGCTTGTCGAGGCATTCCCGAAAAGTGCATCTACTCGTAACCCTTCTACTATAAAATACACAGTCAATACACACCTGATGCTGTAGTAGTAGTATCGGCCTCTAGACCAATGAAGAGCATATTGAGGACCTAATATAGAGCACTATTTGTGCATATATGCAGATCCATAGCCTAGTTCAACAAGGTTCAATCCTTGGTGTGTATGGACTTCCTCATTCAACTATCAGTGATGAACAAGAGTTAATGGGATGAGAATTTATTTAATTGTCTTCAAAGGTGATGATGCTTCATATTCACTATACCTTCCGACCCTCACACAATTGAATGATAAATACTATACAAGGTTGGTGGTATACATCTCTTTTAATCACATCGTAGGAATTATCGACCAACGACATATTATAGTGCATGCTTATCCAAATATCCAATGTTGTTGGTCGGTGATAAGTGATGTGGTAGTTTAATACTCTCAGAAAATTTAGATATAATATACTAGTTAAAGACAGTCTTGATCGCATATTGCAAATATTGCATCATTCGAATCATCAAAGGAGTGGTAAGATATATTCATCCAATGTTGTTATATAATCATCATAGTATCATATTACCCATGTATATCGGGATATATCATCATGAATTAGAAATATATAAAGTCATTAGTTATAATATGAATATGCGCCTCGCTGACTGCTATAACCCCGTATACACTCAGCACATTACCGTATCAAATTCGAGTCAGTAGCGTATCATACCTTATAAGACTTACTATGAATACGCCTATGATCGCGTTGAACTTCACTGTATCGACCATAGGAATCCTACTAGTATCATCTGTTACACATGGAATAAATATGTAAGGAGTTGTCAACTACTGCTAGTACCTGTGGTATTATCATCGCCATCTTCACCTATCACTGAATATACTTTGGATTGCGAGGGATAAGCCGATCTCATTGTAATTACAATAATAAATGATTACACCTGAAGATTGCTTAGTTGGTTTGGGATTTGGTAAACTTGAGCATGAACCCGAGTTCAATTTAACAGAAAGAAAATACATTTTATTGTCGATACCACAAATCCCTCGCTTCCTACACTGTACGCCTATTCTGTATCATCAACCCCTATAGACCTGTTGTGTACCTCCTCCCACGGCCCTATTCTGTATCATCAACCCCTATAGACCTGTTGTGTATCTTCCCCCACCTATTCTATATCAACCCCTATAGACCTGTTGTGTATCATATACTTTAACTCAACACCTACTACTAGCAGTAATAACAATAACAGCATCATTTAAGTCATGACCACCACAATCACCAACACTATATTTCATCACAATTAACATTTTAGTCATTTAAATCCAAAATTTGGTAAAGATTTTCCTTTATTTTTTCCCATTCTCCTTCTTAGCAGCTTCCTTACGAGCCTTTCTCGCAGCTTTCTTCGCAGCCCTCTTCACTTGCCGTTTACTATTAGGATTAGCCGCTTGCCTGTTATTCTTGTTCCTCCCTTTTTGCATTCTTTCTATCGGTTCTGCTTTCCCTGAGTTCCCCTTTCCCCCCGACTTATCAGCTCTAGCTGCCTTTCGAGCTCTCTTCGCCGCTCTTTTCATCTGCCTTTTACTACTGGGGTTAGCCTGTTGTCGACCTTCACTTTCCCCTTCATTATTCGTCTCCTTAGCTGGCGGCGCAGATTTCAAAGGTAGGGTAGCATCAGCAGATCTATCGAACGCTCCAACCTCTTTTGTATCTTCCCCCTCGGGCAGGGGAAGTATCTTAGCATCATTATCGGCCAATTTCTCGGAGTCGTCCGATGCAGATCCGTCTATTCCCTCCTTCCTATCCTCGTTGGCTTCCTCTCCTTTTTCCTCTTCCATTGCGTCCTCATTCCTTACCACTCCTTCATCAATTCTCCCTTGCGACCCACCACTATTGAGTGATGCAGAAGTATTCTCAATATCATTTCCCTCGTCATTGCTAGTAGAAGTAGGCGTCATTTTCTTCTTATTATTGCCATACTCAGACGATCCTTTATGATGTGCTTCAGACTTCCATTCCTCTCCTCTATTGATTATATTCCCGTTATCATCACATTCAGTGCACTTAGTAAAAAGATGTGTATGTTTAACATAGAACTCTGCACGAGTCCTACAGCAAGCTTTCTCATCCAAGTGCTTAGCGTTCCAGTCTCTACAAAGCAAGAATCAACAAAACATACAACTATAATCTATATTACATATCCGAGGTATAAACCAAAGAATTATCAGCACCCCTGAGACTGGTAGTTCCCTGTGGATCTGTGCACCCCTTTCCACCACATAGTTCATCTTCCAGTAGCCATTCCCCCGCATCTGGATCAGAGTGCGCATTCTCCATTTGCGTTATCAAATTGGACCTAGATAGACCGCATCGTGTAGTAAGCCTTTAGTATTCCTACTGTATGTGTCTTGCTTGCTCTTCTATGGTTTTCTGTTGATGGTTTTTGAATCGACCTGTGCTGACTACCGGTAAGGCTTCGCTGAAATAATAAGATACAACTTGAATACCGCCCCTTCAACCCTCTACCCTACATAGCAGGATCATCAGGTCTTTGAATATCAGTTGGCATGAACCTAATGAGATGGTCATCACATTTATAACAATCAGAATCCCCCTACAATTCTCCGTCTTCATTTTCCCTCTTCCTCTTCAGTGGCATCGACTCGTGAGTGCTATCATCACTGGGCCTAAATTGCATTAATAACTACATGTTAAGACCAGAGTAGCAATTTGAATGATATCGTAGATTACATGCCTTTCCAGGTGGGAACAGAATCAAACATGACACGGTAAATTATACGAGTCACACGTGCCCACACGATGAACTCTACCCCGTATCCAGAAATGTCCTCGAACTAACTACTATCACCATTTCCCACTCGAGTACGCAATATACACAAACCTCCTTGTATTTTCACCTTAGCCCCCAGAATCGATGAGTAACTCTAGTCTTACCTCTCTCTCGACAATTCGTCTCTCTGTTGTAGACTACGCCTAACTCTATCAGCATTAGGCGGTCTTGGATTGGTCAAACCACCCTCAGTGCCGGTCTTGTTTTTCCCTTTCCTTCTACGTCCTCGAGCTTCCAACCTGAAATACTCAAATGCTGACATCGGTGCGGTTCATAGAGTTACTACAGGGGTAAGAGAGAGGTTAGTAGTAGCAATAGTAGGAGTAGATGTGGTGAAGTTCGCATACTGCGGGGAAGCGAGCCGCTAAGATACGGCTAAGTGAATGACAATACTGATAATTGATTATTTATAACAGGTAAGCACGTAAGATGTTCTATGAATCACTCCTTGAACTTTCCGAGTGTAATAAGGTTGACAGGGACCTACACAAGGGGGAATGCCCAATCAGTATCTCGGAAATGATAAGCCGACATACGGATCTAGAATGGATATCAACTCAGGATCCGTTCTTCTATTCCACGAGTGGGGCCAGATTACATAATAATCACTTTAATCACATTTACTAATCAGAGACGGTCTCTAAGAAAATACGTCCCGTCTCGTGGGGCGAGCGCCTTTACTGAGGGCTAAGTCCCTTAGAAATGATGAACTTCTTGGAGGGGCTCATAGAAATCTATTAATAGCCATAATATGGACCCCTTTGATTAGACTCTCTGGTGTACTCGGCCAACGAGTAACTTATTGATATCTTGAGTCATCTCTCATCTATCGCTCCACATATGAGTACGTTTTTGAGAACGTGCGCAATCACGTGCATTGCGTGATCAACAACTCACAACTATTACCATCTATATACATAATCCAGGAAGTACCAGAGTGTTGTATTATGAACCTTTTCAAAATACAACTACACCTTTTCAACGCCCATCTGTAAAATAGTGACTCCCATTTGAAGGGGCCGGCGAGATAGGTTTGGAGAGTCTCGTTCAGTAACTTCAATTTCGACAAGAGATGTTAACAAGAACTTCAATTTCGACCGCGTATGACAATAGGAACTCCAATCCCAATGCAATAACATAGGAAGTTCGATACAGTTGTTTTAGTGGAATCAATTTCGTATTTAGGAACTCCTATTTCGAGAAGATACCTCACGATGTGAGGTACCCCGTGTGAGACGGACTCGATCTTGTCGAGTCTCTAATAGATGCTACGAGAGGTTCCGCTTCACCTAACGAGCTTGTGTGCTCAGCTTCCACAGGGGAGTCGATAGTGTTGATCGCCACTAGGAGCAGCACTAGGATGAGACAACAGGGTACGAGCCCACTGGGTTTGTTCTACTGGCAACTCTAGACGTAGTTGGTAGTGAAATACGTACTAAGACAGCCCGAACAGGTAGTGTAGAGAAGTAGGACAAGACAAATGGAAATAGTTGTCATATTACACGCACTCAAGACTAATGGATACGTAGGTACGCAAGCACAACTGATGTGTGTGCGTGCCGCACAGAAGAGGCAACAAGCCTCGTGAGGTCTCGCGAGGCCTCATGAGCATCCTACGCATACCAACGCGTACATTCATTAGTAGTAGTTCCTCTATGGTCAATATTGATGATAGTAGTAGTTCCTCTATGGTCAATATTGATGATAGTAGTAGTTCCTCTATGGTCAATATTGATGATAGTAGTAGTTCCTCTATGGTCAATATTGATGATAGTAGTAGTTCCTCTATGGTCAATATTGATGATAGTAGTAGTTCCTCTATGGTCAATATTGATGATAGTAGTAGTTCCTCTATGGTCAATATTGATGATAGTAGTAGTTCCTCTATGGTCAATATTGATGATAGTAGTAGTTCTTCTATGGTCAATATTGATGATAGTAGTAGTTCCTCTATGGTCAATATTGATGATAGTAGTAGTTCCTCTATGGTCAATATTGATGATAGTAGTAGTTCCTCTATGGTCAATATTGATGATAGTAGTAGTTCCTCTATGGTCAATATTGATGATAGTAGTAGTTCCTCTATGGTCAATATTGATGATAGTAGTAGTTCCTCTATGGTCAATATTGATGATAGTAGTAGTTCCTCTATGGTCAATATTGATGATAGTAGTAGTTCCTCTATGGTCAATATTGATGATAGTAGTAGTTCCTCTATGGTCAATATTGATGATAGTAGTAGTTCCTCTATGGTCAATATTGATGATAGTAGTAGTTCCTCTATGGTCAATATTGATGATAGTAGTAGTTTTATCTTTTCCTCGATAATCATGCCTTCGTCATCCTCATATGTAGCTACTAGACGACAGGTAAGCCCATCCCTTCATCATCACTATCACTGATTTATGCTTAGGCGAGTGATTCGACTATTACCGACTCTGGTAGAGGATCTGAGGACACCTCTAAGACCAGTGGTCACAGCTCTATCTACACCAGATACTTGAGTCAATTTTACAAGACGAAGTTATGCAAGTGAGTGTGTGGGTATTGGGCAACTTAGTACTACCGAAGCTCTGTTAGAAATGGATATAGTTATTCGGTTTCACAAGTCATTAGTCGCGGAGTCATTTGCAATTCGGCTCATTCCGAGAGTGCGTGCGTACGAATCTCCAGAATCAGGGAGAGTTTGATGACGACGAAAGAACCGATCGAAAAATAAATAAACGCTAGAGGATATGCAAATCTCCATGCGGTGCCTTCCTGGCCATATATGCACATAAGACATTTTGTGTCATGAATAGTACCGATCCTGGAATTTGGGCAGGAGACCTACCCCTCGCTGTAGGGGAAAGCGCGACAGATACTCTGAACCCATGGAGTTTTATATAGCAAAGTTCGTTAGACATGTAACGAGCGGCTCCGACACTTCGCCGAGATGGTCCATCGCTCATGGAGTCATCTCTCCCCTCTCACCGGTTGATTTAGGATATGCCGCATACAACTTGGGAGAGAATCCTCGACAGTTAATGAGTGGAATAGTATTGAATTTCTTCAGATACCACTTAGATGGGTTTTGCAATCGTGGTGATAACTGTACGCATGCGCACAGTAAGATATGTTATGATAGCACTTTGATGTAGGAGCTCTGGATATCAGGTGTTGAAGAGCTCAACAGTCAGCCGGACCTAGCTAAGTGTCGTATGTGCCGAGTTTTCCTTCAAACTGGTCATTGCGCTGACTCTCAGTGTCCTTATGCACACGACTTGGAAACAGTAAGTGTATCGAATAATGCATTACGGGTTTATGGTAAAATCCAGCGGATATTGAATATCTAGGGACTCTTGGTCGTCCGCTCGCCTTGGGTATCATCTTATAGTAGTTCCGTGAGTAGCTTGATTGTCTCATCGAGTTTCAGAGTCGATTTTGAATTTCCTTCAATCACCTGCTTTCCTGGGCTGTTCCGTTCATCCTGGACAAACTTATCGCTGTCATTGGAACTGTTTCAACACAGGTTAGATCGTCCAACGCGTTTTTCCGCACTAAGATGTGCGACTTTGCAAAGCAAGGCTTTTGCAAACTAGGAAATAGGTAAGTGCTTCTATTGTTAGCTCTGAATATCGCCATTCATTCGTAGATGTCGATACGCCCATTCCGGGAGTGAAATCATCCAAGATGTTGACTATTCACCAAAAGCAGATGACTCGAAGAAGCCGATTCAGCCAGGTTCTGCCGATATTGGCTTAGAAGGCAAGAAGATGTATGCCATACATAAACGTCGACGCAGGTAAATAAATTCACTTCGTAGTGATGGATTCATATCCCTTCAGGGGTGGTAAGAATATCACTAAGAGTGAGACAACCCCGTGTCTCGAACTTACGATTAAGAATCAGAATAATGGTGGTAATGGTCATAGCAGTAGCATTAGAGTTAGTTATTCATGCATGTAGATACCGGTCATACCACTGCTACTGATAAGAACACAGTACAGAGTAACCGTTGTTTTGAACGTCCTCCACCAGTTTACACTGGCCCTGATTCTATGAGCCCGATTGTGCGCTCCCCTCCATATTCATTGATGACACCATCTGAAAGAAATACATGCACCACTGGACCAAGCAGAAATGGTTCTTGTATTTTCCAGGAGGATGTTGTTGCAACTCCGGGTAGTGGGACTATCGACTTACCATCATCTCGTATGTACTATTACTACCCATCTCCTCTGCCTGGGTTTATCCCACCTGGAGGCCCTTTTTCTAATACCACTCCATTCGCACCTATAGCCCCACTACCCCCTACTATGAGACGAAGTTACTCTATGTATTCTGAAGGTTCGGTACCACTCCATCCTCAACGAGCTCCTTGTATGATGTATATGATCCCTGTGGTACCTATACAGGGAAGGAGAGCTTCACATGACTTGGTGTCTCCCTACCCTCGAAATGGGTTAGAGGGGTCTTTTTTTCCTGATGCTCAATCCTATCCAGATAATATAATTGTATCGAGATGTTTTGATGGTGGAGTAAGGAGAACGTGAGTTATAAGCAATGATTAGTTGTTAACATATGCCTAACATGGCGACTCCCACTTTACATGGTAGCAACAGCCCTTCCATTCCTGACTCATATGGTAGCGAAGTCTGTGAATTGGTTTTTGTCCCCAGGAGAGGTATAGAGCATTCCTTCCAATCTTGAGATGATGAGGGGTATTCTATCACATGTACCATCAATTGCTTGCTATCATCATTGTTTTCGTCTTTAACTATAACATTGTTGTTATCTTTTGATAACAATCCCTATTATCGACGCCTCGCGGCTACAACAATCGCCTCATTAAAGGTTTGGAGTACTTCAGCTCAATTTTCGTTCATCGAGCTATCTTACAGTGTTCCAAGCATGCACGGTTGTTGTCACTTATCATTGAACTAATATCCCTGATAGACGATACTGGAACGATCTTACTATCAGTACCCTTAGCTCAGCTATGTACCGAATTATCTCCACTATCGCTTTTATCATCAACACTCACAACTTCGTTGATCTGAGCTCGATCCTTTTCTCCTTCAATCACAGCAAGTCTTGGAGTTACTGAGTGGTGTCAATGTAACAACAGTGCGTGCCGTCTCGACACAATGAGACGGTCTATCACCTGGGAGGAAGGTTAATGCCTCTGGACATTGACAAAAAATGCTAGTTTGACAATGTTGGGGCTATAAATACATAGAGGCAACAACTACTGTTGAGGGAAACTTCTTCAAGAGTGTAGAAGATGGTCATCTACGTATTTGGCTTTTCGCAAGTGATAGAGGATAATAGACGGCAGAAATAACAGAAATCGATACCACCATTTCCTGGGCCCACTCTAACTGTTAACATAGACACTCGAGTGGTTACAATATCCGATGGCAATAACGAGAATGAGGTCAGCAACGGCTTGTGTGGTGTCGAAGGGGCAAGCGGATCAGGTCTCGTGGTGGTTGGGTGTATATCAAGTAACCGTTTTGTATAAAAGGTTGATTCGAACCAGTTCTGCAATGCATTTTTTGTTTCCAGAGGGAGCAACAATTTCAAATAACAAATTTGCACATCAACACCAACGCAAAATGTAACTATTAGCACATAGAAACGCTGCGAGGAACAACTCGAGTTTTATGCGGATGACTTGAGGACAAGCAGATAAAGAGTGCAATCGCAGTGACCATGGTACGATGAGCTTATCGGACCTCAACGAGTCCTCGAATAGGAACGATATCCGTAAAGATAGTACGGAGCGGTATTATGGTGATAAGGATTTAACAACAGCTCTAACATCACAGGGCTATGGTGTTGCTAGTTTATAAAGTGATGATATATGCCTATAGGCTATAAAATAAAGACAATGGTTGACAACCATATGGATAGAAGAACTTCAAGGATACAACGACCCTTTGAATGTGATGATGACCATCATCATCATCATCATTATGATGCTTCTGGTGTTGTAGGGGGGCTGGCCAGGTGAGGAGAGGTCAATAACATCTCTGTATATGTGCATCCAGCATTGACTACTAGACCTAAGCATGGTACTACTATACACAATAATGGCTTTAACAACTCACTTGAGACTATACCGAGAATACCCAATCCACATATGACATAATAGGGATCAGCAACATCAACATCATATAGTTGACCTCCTACTAGAGGGCCCAGCACACCACCTATGAATGGGAGGTGGGATAAGAAGACAACAAGGACCTCCATCACTTATCGGCTTACCAACGTTGGTTACACCCATAGTTATCGAGTTGATAAGGCCTCTACTCTTTGGAGGCGATATCAACGCACTGCAATAGGCCATACCCGCGAAAAAGAATGTGACTAAAGATGAGTAGCATAGTAGGCAGGGTAGTACTATATTTCAGCTTACTTCCGACATATACACACATTCCTATTATAATGGTACCCCATATTGAGTATATAAATGGCACTATCACAGCTAAGACTACCAGACAGAAGCCGAAGGCTGCTACCAAACCTGGCTTAATCTTATCTGTCAACACAGCAATGACCCAACATATATATACGAATTAGATCGACTATTACTGGATATATACATATATAGTATAGTGCAAATGATGACGACAAGAGCTTGAATTCCCATAGCTTCACCGTTCTGTTGTTCAGTAAGGTCATATCTATCTGCTCCAAGTACACCAAATACTGTGGCCCATGAATTACCAGCGTACCTGATGACAAGGCTGTAACAAAGCCACACATACAATAGTTATTACTGTCCAGCGAATGCTGCCAAGCACAAGCATACAAGAGTAGTTATAAACCATTTGTTCTTCTTCGACCATGCCCCAAGACCCATATCCTTAGCTTCATCCATTGGGGACATACCCTTCGGTGGAGCATCAATAGAGCCAGAGGGCGGCAACGGCGGCGGCAGGTTATCCGAACCTGCTGTCGTGTTATCACTGTATCAGCTCGATAACTTAAGTGAATTGGTATTACTGCTGACGTCATTGGCCTGATCCCGTCCTTGCTGTTGTTGATGTTGATGCTTCCAACACTCATAATACTCCCACTTGAGCCATTCGGGCTTGTCCTCCCTTGGCTTGGTCTCACGTAGGAAGAAGAGCTGGAGGAGGAAGAGTATGGCCGCGAGTACACCCATAAAGTAAAAAGGAAATGATATACCAACACTTGCCAACCAACCACCTGAACATATGAGGACATCATAGGAACTCCATCTTCCCATCATCACCTATCGTAGGGCCCAGTGCTCCACCAACAGTATTGCAGATTGATATACAAGAACCGTAGAACCTCATGTCTTCGACACGACTACTGTCTGTAATGAAGGCATACAAAACTGGCCGTGTACCTACTCCAATCTACATCCGTGTTACTCATGATGAGCATTATTATTACCGGCAGAAACTCCACCGATAGCACGGAAACCAGCAAAACTAGCTATATTCCACGCATTGGCTACAAGGAAATAGGATATAGTATAGAGAAACATAGCCAGTATGAACACTGGACGCCTACCATACCTGAACAACATGAATATAGGAAGATATGGTACTGAATATAATACCTATCGGATAAGGGTCCAGTGACTAGAGAGGCTACGAGAGTACCAATAGAGAATGATGCCATGAATATGGATGCAGCACTACCCTCATCCATATCAGGATCGAGATCTTCTACCAACCTGAGAACGGGTATACAGGGGGAAATGTGTAGGAGGTGTGGTATTACCATGGTGTTAGAGGTGCCACTAGTGCCGTACCACACCATTCAACAAAGAGGCTCACTAGTAGTAGGGTGAGGTCCAACACTCTACGTGGATCATATTTCAATTGGTAGATTAGTCGGCTAAATCTATTTAACTTGACGTACTCATCAAGACTCTTAGGGCCTTTATGGACGTATACCATAGGAACGGATGGGGGGGAAGTATGAGGGGGAGAAGAAATGAAGAAACTGTAGTTATAGTGTTAAGTAGCAACATAATGAACACCTTGAGAATAGAGCACCAATACCCCATCATATATGGCATGCTTCATGGTGGCAAGGAAGGCAGCAACCTTTATTGACGGGTTATACTACCCAAGATGAGCAGCAGTACACCTTCAATACTAGCCGCTCAACTTCCCTGCTGGTGCTGCTGTTGTTGTTGAACTATTATCTCGGTGAATAATAATACTCTACTAGGAATGGGAGAGTACCGGCCTACCGGTACTACCGGGGTTCGGTGATTAAGTACCAACCTGAAACATACAGCCCAACACTACGATATCCTCCGAGTTGGATAATTGTTTCCAAACTTCGAATGGTCATGAATCTAAACGCCAGGCATCTCCTAATGCCTTTGACCCAATGTTAAACCTTCCCACCAAGGCCACGCGAAGCGATCAAAATGCGGCGCAATTCATCTGCGGAATTCCCAAGAGGGCTCCCTAATAATGCATATCCCACCGTAGCCATTACGGTTTGTTCTTATCATTCTGGATGGTAGAATATGCACGACAAGGAACAGGCCTGCCAACACGGTCAATGACCGTGTCGTGTGATGACCGTCGGTCATCACAATGATGATAAGGACACAATCACCAGACATGCTATTCCATAACGTATCATACACTGCTTGCCTTGAGATCCTCACTAACCTCATCAAGCACTACACTACCAAACAACGTTACATTGAAACCCATGAGTAAACTGAGAGCCTTTCGAAAGGCATCATAGTCCCGGTGAATGCATGTTCACCAACACAATACATCCAGACCATATGTGGAAACTTTTAGACCTAACATGGACAACTGGTAATAACATTGAAGAAAAAAGGACTGCCCCTGGCTGCGAGACGGCGGCTGAGCACCGTCGTCCAGATAGAATATTGTTGACAGATTAGTGAGCAAATAGGAATAGTGTTGTTATGATTGTAAATGGTCGGTTGACATAGTCATTATCACACTGGAGACCTGCCGACCTCTACTCCTTCCTCCGTTTTGACCTCACTTGAAGGGCTGCTCACTGCTGGAACCAGTAGCGATAGGGCATGTAACAACGCCCTGTAGATGCCTAGACCTGATGTTCTCATATACCATTGAACATAGATACTAGTAGCTTACAAGCGATACTGCCCATAACTGATACACCTGCACTCATGTAGAAGGGGTAAGCTCGATGGTATGGGTCCATGTCGTATAGTTGACCCGCTAGTAGAGGTCCAGAGATACCCCCTGAGGAGGAGGAGATATGAGTATGAATCGATGTGGGGATACATACCTAAATTGGCCATACTCATTAGTAATGAATTGATAAGACCCCTCTTTTTAGGTGGGGCTACCACCGAATTAAAGTAGGCCATCCCTGCGAAGTACAGACCACCTGAGTATGATACTGCTGCATGACGACGATTATACTGAATATCGACGTACATCCAACGTTCATGAGCATACCAAGAGCTACTGTAAGATAAATGTTGTAGATAAAGGGAACGATGACCAAAAATATACACAATACGTGACCCATACAACCAACTAAGGCAGGAGCGATATAATCTGATGATGATGATGACAAGTATAGACGACGTAGATATCATTGGATAACTTACGAGTGATCGGTAGGTAGACCAGATTCACCAAGATTACCACTACTGCCTGAATACCCAATACCGCACCATTGGATGATGATGATAGGTTATATCGATCTACACCTAGTAGACCAAGAACTGTCGTCCAACTTGAGAAGACGTATCTGATTAGGATCTTAATGGTAACGGTTATTGGTGACTTACTGTCCGCTGAAGGATGCTGTTGCCAGGCAAAGCACAGTTGGGATCAAATACTTGTTCTTTCGGGGCTCAACATTACTCGAATTCCAACGACACTTGGGCCGACCATTAGCATCTTTTATGAGAGACTCTCTTAAGAAGATAAATACGAGCACCAACAATACGGCAGAGACACCACCGATAAAATAAAAAGGAAAAGATAAAGTAATGCTAGCCAATGCACCACCTGAGACAAACACCTATACAACATAATCAAATGCAAATGAAACTACCTACCAACCATTGGTCCCAAAGCTTGGCCTGTAACAACAAAGAGGCCCATTAACACACCATAAAGCCTCATATCATCAGGTCTACTAGTATCTGTAAGGAATGCCATTACCACCGGTCTCGTGCCTGAAGATTAGATAGGTATGATGGAAAGGAAAAGGGAGCTCACCTGCCGAGACTCCCCCAATTGCTCGGAAGATTGCAAAGGAAGAAATATTCCATGCATTAGCAGCAGCGAACTGTGAGGAGGTATAGAGGAACATAGCTGCTACCAAGACTGGTCGTCGACCAATCCTAACAACCATTCATACATCATCGAAGATACTACTATTGATACCTATCTGATAAAGGTCCAGTGAAGAGAGATGATAAGAATGTCCCTACTGCATAGGAAGCCATAAGAATAGACGCTGCTGCACCCTCGTCCATGCCTGATGCTAGCTTATCGATGTACCTTATCGAGTTCATGGATCGACTTACGTTGGTTGTACATATACTTACCATGGAGTAATGGGGGCCAACAGAGTATTGCCTAACCATTCAATGAAGATACTTATGAATATCAAACTCAAATCAATGATCCTTCGTGGCTCATATTTCAATCTATATCGAAGTCTCGCTAGCCGCTTTAAACTGTAATACTCCTCAGTCGACAACGGACCGGAATTGTCCATAAACACCACGGATAGTTCAAAATCCAACCAACTGGTACATACTTATAACTCACCAAGCATTCTCAACGATGCTTTAGATGATGCTACTCGAAGGACTCATGGAGGCATGGTCAAGGACCCTGCTCTCATTTACCATTGTGTAATACTTTGTGTTCTTGTTGTTGATCAAGCTAGATCAACAGGTCTACTGTGTTGTCTCAAATGCTTCCCGACGCAGCGTAAACACAATCCTATCTCATGAACAGCGTGAGCAGCAAGTGTTGTCATTATAATCAATGCTGTATAGGCAACTACCACACTAACATCATGATATGGAGTAAATTCACATGTTATCGATCCCCTCGTGATTTTGCTTAATACTGCCGTCAAGGATCCCTGTAAAGCAGGCTGTCGTAGGCGTAGATGAGGTTGACAGTCACCTATAAGCTGTTCACTAATCTTCCGTCGGTCTAAGTGGTTTGATGGGAAGTCCGACTCACCGACTCCAAGTATCTAGAGGAGGTCAGTGTCGGTTATGATGATCAATATGAGTGGCAACCCTCATCAAGCAATCAAAGTCCTCTTCGCTCAATGGCTCATCGCCAAGACTAGTCAAGGCTTCTTTCAAACGTGAACGAGCGATCCGTCCAGCAGAAGCAGCCGTGGTACCCTTTGGGGAGGAGGAGGAGGAAAGGGCCTGCACCACGCAATACGATAAGATTAATGTCATAGTGGCAGCAGCAAGTGTCGCATGAATAGGAGTTGAGCTACTGTATGTTACTACACAGAGAGCATCTTCAACACTTTGCATATTGAAACCATGGAGCTTCTGGCTCTTATCTGCCGCTTGGAGCATTTCACGGAAGTTAAACCTATCGTTACTCCACAGTTATGACGGTATGATCTATGCATGATCGCAGCCAGGTCTATACGTATATCAATGAATAGGGAGTTTGCAGGCTCCTGCATACAGTTGCTCGAGGGGCAATTGAATGCTATCTCAGTGTTCAAATGGCGAGTAACCCTAGTGATCGTTGTACTTGTTTAAACCATGGTTAGTGACGATACGTGAGAGGATGAGGCTTTCAATGGCCATTGTAGTCATACAGAAACCAACTGTCCTGAACCAATCAGCCTGAGAGGGCATCGTGTTAATAAGGTCCTCTATTGTGGCTTACGGCTTGTGGCTTAGTTAAGTAACCATCACCATCCGTATCTGCTAGCTCGAACGTGGTCCTCATATCTTGGAACCGATCAGTTATGAATCGGCTGCTTCCCGGTGGTGGATGTGCTGAAATTATGGTACGGACAATTATATTTAAAGCCTCTCACTCGTATGCCATTTGTGTCCTGCTCCAGCAGCTCTCCCACGTGGACGTTGGGCTGCTGTCATAGCCGTTAATGACGACAACTGTGGGGATATTCCGACAGTCACATATGAAGTAACGTGTATCGGAGATGAGTCGGTGTGTGTATCCATTGCGGGGCACTATCGGCTCAGTAACTTATCACCCTCTGATACAATAGCCGATTAGGAGGAGGCTCGGTGAACTTTCTTATTATTGCGTACCTACCCCCCAACGTAGGAATAGAAAGGAACATAGGATCGATTTCACGAACTCCCAGGGGGTAAATTGTTGAACCGTATATGATGCCGTAAGACAACACATCGTGGTAGCTCATCTGTCCATGTAGCGGTCCAGTAGCGTCAGCTTCGATCCAACCATTTCTGTGACCCCCCCCCCCCTCCCGCGCCGCCAAGGTCAGGTATTGGGACAGCGACTCTCGCGGCGAGCGATGTTTAAACCCTCGGGTGGATCCAGGCGGGTAGGGGGCGATATTGTGACCGTATCCTGGACGGTTAATCCGTCAGCTCAGCAACTACCCCTTTCGATGCTTGAGAATCAGTCGCCCACACTTCATAACATACTACAGCCTTTATCATCAACTGCCACCTAGCAAGATTGGTTAATGAAAACTCATACTAGTTTCACAGAAACGTGAGGTGATCATAGATGAAGTCAACTGCGACCAATGATTCGTGGCATGCGCTCCCACAAGGAGGTCTCCTTATCATTACCATCTATTACTTTAATCTAGAGAAGCCATAATAATCTTTCCAAGATATTAAGGAGCCTACCCGACACTGTGTCCATAGAGGGCAGTGAGCGTCACTCAGCCTCATGTACTTACGCCACATCTTGTCACAAGCATTGATCATCTCCTCTGAAGTGAAGGAGGACTCAGCGTATTCACCTCGTAGGATGCCCACCCTTGGTGTCTCCAACTTTGTATCGTCCACATTCTGGGCAGAACTTAGTTCGAGTCCATCGTATCAATGCATTAGGCCTGCTGAGACAGTCATACACCGTAACTCGGACGATAAACGGACCTTCTTTTCTGATCTGAGAAAACCTCCGTCGTGAACAATCGTCTACTTGTTAATGGTAGATGGCGCATAGTGAGGTTGGGGAGGTAAGCTTAGTACAACTGTACTACAACTGTCAACACAAGATGGGATGATACACAGAAAAGATGATGATAATGTATACTCAGCAGTCCACTGGCCTATAATGAGATGTGATACGTCGAGAAGTGTGGACACTTGAGCGGCACCTGTGATAAGATACTTTATGATTACAGTAAGAAGTAGTGATTAACCCGAATGCTGCATCCTCAAGAGATGGTGCTTCAATGACACCTTTATCATCACTATTGGGAGCCTGATACCATCCATGTATGAACCATGCACATATCATCACTTACTTGCTGTGGAGAAGAATCCTTGGTAGACCTAACTGAGCTCCTAGGAGAACCTTTGCCTACATTGTTACTCTTATCGTCATCTGTTGAGCATGATGAAGATACACTATAGGAGCCACTTATACTGTTATTTATGGTAGACTCCTTAATAAACCTGTTCCACCATGATCTCAACATGTTTTCTCTCATATAACTAGCTTGAATGATGATCTACCGCAGGCTGAATAAGTAAACATAGTATCGATAGTAATAACGAGCTCATATGGTTACTATGTAGCTTGGTGTAAGCTGATGATCTAGTAGTATTAGCACGTAGAGGGACTCCTTGGAAGAAGGTACTCAGGTCGATAATAAACATGTAACACGCTCAAAAAGAGCGCTCAATGATAGTACTGATACAGGATTAATGTCATGTTGTCGGTAATCGAGTAGTTGTAAGGTGTTGTTCAACACACGTACAAGATTGAGAAACAATCTTGCTATTCTTGCATTTTCTCAACCTATCAGATTCTCACTTCCATTGTCACCATCTACCGCAACCGTAGATCTACGAGGACTGGTAGGTTGTATAGTAGAGGGGTTTAAGGTTGGCGTATCGAGGATACAAATATATTCCAGGGAAAAGTACTCCACCACCTGTCTTCGACGACAGCAGCTGTGATGATGCAGTGGTCAGTTATTCTACTATTGATGCATGATCTAACTCAATTATGCATTGCTATTGTGGTGCTATTCAGCCATGATTATGCAACATCCTTTTGAAATTCCTTCCTACTATTTATGACGATAAATTGAAGGCTTGTAAATGCCCCCGCTCGACAGTGTCGATTATTACCGCAATGCCAACTCATCGACACCCAGTAACCATGTCTTGTCGCTTCTGGGGCTTGCCGATGAAGCCCCTCGACGATCAAGGTCCTGCATTGGCACAGGATCTACTCACACACTTTGTTGCCGAGGTCAATTCTTGTTTGATTCAAGAGGAGGTGATAGAGAGGGAGAGGGTGAGGATATATCGACTCGAGGAGATTAAAGGTTAGTGGATGTACCGTAACTTGCTCAAATCCTAGTCAAAGTAGACCACCGGATGTATGTGGATGGCGGGGAGATGATTATGTTATGTGTTGAGGGATGTGGTGAGGGAGGATTCGATCCCACGACCTTTCGGATGAGAGCGAAGCAGGTTTCGATCTTGCCCGAATACGCTCTACCGTTAAAGGGGAAGCGGCTTATCGAGCACTATGTGAGGAGACACAGAGTAGGTTTGTCGAGATGCAAGAAGGGTGAGGCCACTACTAGAAAGTCTGACATTTCATTTAACCAGTTTATCGACCCGAATCCTCGAATTAGAGGCTGATAAAGAGGCTCTACAACAACGAGTTAAGGATCTACTCGAGGATGAGATACATTCTAGGATGCTACGTTCGAAGAAGGCTGATCATCATGATCATGAACCACTACGTAATATGATTACTCTTATCTTTAAGGAGCCTATCTGTATACAAGGTAATGGTTTTGTGACTAATCGGAGGACTCCTCCTATCGAACATGGGATGGGGTTTCATCCACCATCCAGGAGGAAGGCATCGAGGAAGCCTCCTGGTGGTAACAGTAGGAGGGCATCCTATGGTGGTGGGATTATCGAGTATCGTGGACCGACTAGAGCTGAAGGACGGAGGTCATTGGGCTCGGATGATGGGTATAACTAATGTCGGGGAACACTCCTCTATTGTTGTCTATTCTCAGGGCAGTAGTAGTAGCATCACCCGAGTCATCACCCCAGGATCATCCTCCTCCTCATCATGGACAGCAGGAGGAGCAAGCATTAACCCCACCACCATCTAGTGCTCCTCTTGTTACCAGTAGGGTAGGCTCAGCGATAGGTGAGTGCGAGGAAGTATCATTGATGAAGTGGTTCAGTAGGCACACCCCAAACAGGGATCAAGGACAGTGGGGATACATCAAGCAGAGTGATACAATAACCTCACCGGGGATAGAACCTGGGACGATCAGGTCTTGCTTCCTGGCTTCAACCTCAATGCATCGACTCGAGGCAAAGCCCAGGACGTTGTTATTACTCCTAGATCTAGAGATGGAGGTAGGGATCTCTCCATTGAGTAGGTTGGAGCATCTTAAGATAGGAGGTGGTAGTAAGTCCCAGCATTGGACTGCATCGTTTGCCTCGAGCATACCCGGAGGAGGAAGAGGAGGAGGGTTCACTACTGGTGGTGGCCAACAACAAGGGAATGGCAGCCTCCGAGGGTCTACAGGAATGCCTATAAGTCCGTGCCTCACTTGAATTGAAAGGTTGTCTCCTGTCACTGTCTTAGCAGCTCCGGCCCAATCCCGATCTTTTTGTCTCGCCCCTCGTCCTTTCCAACCACTCCATCATCACTTCTCACCACGGACTATACTACCCGGTAAAAGTATGGCAGGAGGTGATGATAACTACCCTTTGGAGTGATTTCCTAATATCCTTATCAGCCTCTACCCCTCCACCTCCTAGAGTGGCACCAACTCCTAGACTGCCATCCGCCTCCTCTTTCTATGAGGGTTCATCATCATCACATCACATGTTCCGTATACCCCTACCATCTTCCATGACACAAATACCAAGACCATCATCATTGTAGGGCTCCTCCTGTTACCATACTATGACTATGTTGTCAGAACCTTGAGGCCACCAGCTCCCACCTCCTCTACGAACGACATATCAAGGTTGATGAATAGTCAGAGTAGCCTAATACAACATCAACAGCAGCAGCAGCAGCAGCAGGCATCGGCTATTATCAGTCCACGAGGATCATCACAGCTAAGTGGTATGTGATCACACAGGGTATATGTTGAATATCATGAATGAATTCAGTGGGGTCCGCTCAGAGCTAGCAGTATATCATTTCTCTCTCTTTTCGAATGAGTTTAGTTTAGATTACCAGTGACTGGGATTCGAACGTGGGATCTCCATAGCTTACCTTGAATGATATTCAACTATCGGCTAATTCTGTTACTACCCCTACTGCACGTTATTGCCTTCGAGTATCCCGACCCACAACGTGATCCCGAGAGATGCGGTAATGACCATTGCCTACTTCGATAATCAGTTATGATCATCAGGTCTGTCGGCTCCTGGATGGATATGTGATCCCGATCGCTACCTCTCGCGGGATGAGATGGATTTCCTCGATAAGGAGTTGAGGAAGGACTTTGCTGTAGAAAGCGTGTGTGGTAAGGGACTATGACGATCATAGTCATCATCCTTCATCACAGGGCCTTATCAAGTAGCTGTGGCCATCAGTAGGAATACATGGCCAGTAGGAGGTGTTGAGAGGTTTGCTAGGAATGTAAACCCAAGCAGTATAAACGTTATATGAGTCATTACCAATGTCATCATAGATCCATAACGCTTGGGGTGTTGGTCATGCTCCCTGTGATAGTGGGATAGTTATGGCCTTGGATATCGGCAATCGTGAAATGTAGTATAATCATCATCACTCATGGTTTGGTAAGCAGAGGGTTATCGTCATAACAGGTTCATCAGTATGGGTAAAGCCGCCAATGAACGCATGTCCACCACTAGTGCTTCTGCTGTCATTGATCATATGCGGTCCTTTTTAAGAGAGTTCAAGTATGCTCAAGGTGTTTATGAAGGGCTCACACTTATACGACAAGTCATCGATACCGGGAAGCAATTGAGCGGGTAGTGACTATCGGGTACTCCCCAGTAACGTCATCATCCTTCCTTAGGATCACCTTCCCCCTCATATTATTCTTCATCGTATTTTTCGGTATCTTTGGACTGATTATATTCATGTTCATAAAGACGTGTCTACAGAACCGTCGTACATCAGCAGTAAGGCGTCAACTTAGTCGTATGGAGAATGAGCGTGCTGAAGCATTACAAGGACATTTCCGACAAACATCATGCCCGATATGTTTGGAAGAGTTTGAGGTACATCCTTCTAGTAATAAGAAGACTGATGAGACCACTGAAGCAGCACCTCTCACTGGACAAGAATGTGAACTCCTGAGATGTGGTCATAAGTTCCATAAGGCATGCCTTCAAGAATGGCAGGAGCAAGGCATTCATCGGGTACGTGATGGGTTACGATGTCCTGTATGCAGGAAGGATGTTAACAAGGACACTGACAGTGATGATGAAGATGGTGGTAATGATCCTAATACTGGCAGGCCTAAGCACTCCTCCTCATCATCATCGACGACATCTTCAGGAAGGAGTGGTATGATGTATGTAGGACCCTATTATCCAGGATATGAATATGGTCCGTTGTGGGATTTCCAGATGATGCGTCTAAGACATCATTATCCCGGTGTTATTAGTGATGGCTTTGTCCAACAGTATAGTTGGACAAGTCTTGGGAGTAGAGGTACATCTGGTTGTCCATTACCATCTCAAGATAGATCTATCAACCCCCCTCCCCCATCATCATCACGTGGTCATCTTGGAAGTGGTGGATTCGGTGGTGGTAGTGGCTTTGGTGGAGGAGGAGCTTCTGGAGGGGGTGCTGGTGGAAGCTGGTGATGATAATGATGATGATGCCTTTGAATGTTTTCATACTTTCTTGATCTCTATTCCTCACTGTTGTGTTGCTGATATCATATCGTTACGAGGTTCATGCATCCTAATACCATTGAGTATTCCCTTAGTTCGGTAGGGATCACTACTGGTGAATCGTGGGTATAGTTGGGTTCATGGAGATGTAATACTGTGGAGGCATGTCGGACCGACTGTCGGGCGTTACAGTTCGATGATGACAACATAACCTACAGGGCGGTGCAAAAGAAATGGCCCGACCCTCGTACTACCACCCTCGTAGTATTAGCACTGATCTCTTGTGCTTGACAAGTTGCGTGTGGTGATGGGAGAAATTAACAACACACTCCTAACACCACTAGTAGTAATAGAAAGCATCTAGAACACGAGTTGATGAGTGAATGGTCCGGTACTGATCATCTCCCATCCTTGACGTCCACTAAACGTTCCATTAGCCATATGAAGCCGCCCTAGAGGTTGATAACTCGGTATGTTTAGCGTGATAATCTTCATCATAATACTCACCTAGGTCCCCTTCATCTATAATAACCTCGTTCTCTACTACTCTTGGTGCTTGGTGCTCTACCAATTCTGCTCTACCCGCCTCTATTGATGCATTACTCTGAGTAATATCCTGATTGATAACACAAACATGATCTGTCAGTAGTAGTATAATTATCATCACCTCATCTGTATTATTATTATTATTCCCGTTCTCGTTATTAATCTTACCCGCCTTATCTGCTACATCCCACTTCCTCTTCTGGGCATTGTACATCTTAGTAAGCTTCTTCACTTGGCTTTTGGGTATATCAGAGCCGTCTGCTAGTAGTAGAGGGAAGCCTTCCTCATCATACTTACCATATCTGCATCACCAACGACTCAATGGAGCATTCCCTCCTCACAGCATTTGCTAGCCGACGAACATGGTATGCATTAAGATAGGTACACTTCGACAATACCCCAGTTGCTGCTATATATGTTATTACCTCCCCTCGTATTCACCCTCTTTGAACATATCCTTTGGGTTAACTAATTTCCCCTCAGCCCGACGACGGTATTTCTCCATTCCTTTCTACTCAATGATTACTATCTTACTATTATCACCATCATCATCATGCCGCTACCTTTTTCTTATCATCATATTTCATCGGGTTTATTAACTTGAGTGCTTCTTCATGTAGTACATCAACCCATTGGTGATATAAGTCTTCACTCCTGTCTTTATCTACTTGATGATGATATTTCATATACCTACAACATATCCCTACTCTACCCAACACCACCATCATCATCACTCACTTATCACCAGGAATACACTTCCCTACTAGACTAGCCTGAGGTATGGTCACTAGACTAGCCCTTTGAGTGACCTTTGATAGTGTGATAAGGCTTTCAGCATCGCTGTGATCAGCGCTCCATCCTGATGCTGTAGCTGACAATAAGGAGTGATGATGATGATGACTGTCACTATCCTAGTATTGGTATTACCTAGCTTACAGGTCAATAGGCTTTTGGCTGCCTTTACCATCCTATCCTTCGTAATAGGGGAAGCAGTACTTGGTGATGATCCCGCTTCCTCCTCTGATGATGATGACTTATTCCTACATGAATGATGCATAACCTGCCTCCAAGAGGTCTATTACCCCTTCCTCCTGCCAAATGCAACATAATTCACTAGGCCGGGCTCGTTAACAAGATGTACCCATTTATCATCATCCTCATTCACTAGTAGCCTCCCACCCGATATACGCTGTACTACTATAAAGAGAGCCTCATCCTCCTCCTCTTCCTTAGGGGTGGATGATGATGACATTGTAAAAACGTTGAGGAACTATCAAATTACCGTAATAGGGGGGGAGCTCCCACTCCACATAACGGTAGTCTGCCACTGATGCACCTTGCTTGTTACTCCGAGCATGAGCCTGTAGTAGCATACTGCTGCATACTATTCCACAGAGTCTCCTAAAGGCGCTCTTAGGTGCACCATACCCTATACCGTTCTCTTCCTTGCCCTTAGACCCCGAATCGTGGCTTTGTGTTTCAGCCTAACCGCCTCACGGATTTTGTACTTTGTGAAATAGGCCTCTGCGCGCCGCGCGGCGGCAGTCATGCTTGCCAGAATGTTGTGCATATTTGTATGGGTAATTTATTTGCCTCTCATACACGTTGCTGTGTTAACACTATAGGTCGGTTAGTATGTTGTCGTTGCAGACTTATTACGATTGCTATCGGCAGTAGTTGTTAATAATATGAATAAGTTGAGGCTATCACCTGCCGAGGAAGAGGCCATAAAGAGGCAGCATGCTCATAGAGAGCGGATCAAGAGGATGATGGCAGTCAGGCATGGTGAGGTTATACGGTCTAAGAGGATGTAATCATCATAATGTTCACGGTGGAGTGGTATGACGTATTGCTTTAGAATAGCCCGAATGAAGCTGGCTGAGGATATGCAGTGTAAAGAGGATAAGAAGCATAGCATAATACATAATATCAATAGCTATAAGGAAGAGTTAAGGGCCTTGATACAGGCAAAGGAGGATATAGAGGTAATAGAACATATGATCGTAAGCTGGGTATTGGTACTCAGCAGGTTACACTAGACCAGGGACGGCGGAATGCTCATGCCTTCACAACAGCATTGTCTTCGGGTTTACGTCAACAACAACAACAAGGTTTGAGGGATGAGGAGTTGGTATGGCTACGGTAATAGTGTATGCCTATAGTATTGGTATATGATATCATCGTTAAGGTATCAACATGCATTGGATGCTATACACCAGGAGAGGGGAAGAGGGGAGGATGATGAGGTTGTAAAGAGGATTATAGATGCTAGGGATAAGGCTAATAAGTAGTGTGGTAGGCTAACACAATGATGATATGTTCTAGTGTTCAGGTTGTCTAGCAGTTTCAAGCCTAAAAATACTCAATTCTTTCCATCTGATGATATTTTTATTAAGAATGAAAAGGATAATAAGAGGTAGTAGGGTATAGAAGGCTTTGGGGGATGAATATATTGTGTATTAGAGGTGCATGGATGAGCCATGATCTATTGACTCAATACGCTGAGACAGCTTTCCATGCATACGATAATCCTGGGGAGGTAGCAGATGATTCGATACTAGAAGATAGCTGTAGGAAGAGGAAGCCAGTACTCCCTCATGATTGGGATAGTATAGTTGCTGATAGGGGTAGGGAGGGAAGGGGGTCATGCAGGTAGTAGTAATGGTGATTGTCTAGGTAGGAAGGCTCTAATGAAGGAGAGGGATAGAATAAGGTGTGAGGAGGCCGAAAGGGACATTGATGTAAAGACCTCCCTTGTAAAGCACAGTCGAAGGTAGTTAGCAGTTACAACGCTACATGCAACGTAAAGCTAAGGCTGATATTATAGTGACAGAGAGAGCTAGGAAGATTGGTGAAGAGAGGAAGCAACCACTAGTGGAGGTTGCCACCATTACAACGTATGTACTGTATGCGGTCCTTCGTGTGATGATGATGTCTATATACTAGGATACCGGGGAAGGAGGATGCTGTTCCTATCTCACAAGAGGCTCGGGATGAGGTGGTAGAGCAGGTAAGGACGTGCCATTAGGATTATGTACTGTGTGTTACATGCAGGTGATAGATGATGAAGGAGAGGGTCGGATGCCAAGGTTGGATGCTGCTGGCCTGAGGGAGGGAAAAGAAGAGGGGATTGAAAGGAATGGTATAGAGACGGGAGAGAGGGTCCCTGTGATAGGGGAGGGTGTACAAGGGCCGGAGGAGAGGAGCCCAAAGGGGGTAGAGGAGGAGTCGAAGGAAGGGAGCTCGGGAGTAGGAGTTGAAGGACAGTTAGAGGACAGGAAGGAACAACAGTCGGAGAGGCCACAGGTGGTGGTGGAGGAAGTAGAGGGGAGTATTATGCAGGAGGGTGGAGCTGAGGTGGAGAAACTGTGTGAGGAGGGTCCTGTGGAGGAAGAGAGTAATGAGGCTGAGGAGAGGCCATCAGAGGGGAAGAGACAGCAACAGGAAGTGGAGAGGAGACCACAGTACCTCAGGAAGGCCTCCCAAGCACCTAAGAGGCTGTCCCAGGGGAAATCGGAGGAGGAGATGAGACTACGGGCTAGTGTAAAGGAGAGGCCAAAGGACAATCAACAGGAAGTGGAGGGGTCATCGGTGAGGCTTAGGCCGATGAATGGCAAACCGCGTGGAGTGAACAATGCGGTAAAGCATGGAGTAAGGAAGAGTCAAGAACGGGAGGTAAAGAGGAGGCCACAGGGGACATGTCCTCGGCGATCGGATGTGATCGGTACCCAACAGTCTAGTGGTAGAGTATCTCAAGAGGAGTTGTGGGTAGTGGTTAGAGGGAAGGATGGGGATAGGACTCCTACTGTTGATCCTACTGTGGACAAAGGGAGTATTGATGTGCTTAAGGAGGTTGATAAGCATGAGGGAGCAGTCCTTGGGGTGGAGGTGATGGTTGAGGAACAACAACAGCAACCATCGCGGCCTATACACGATGACGTATGCCCTCCTACGACTAGGGCGGCGGCCATAACATCCTTCCTATCTGGGGAGGTAGTACTACGTAGATTAGTCTGAGGTAGTATACTGCCTATTCAGGATAGAGCCTATAGGGATGAGTCCATGATGGGGAGGGGGGTCGATGGGTTATCTCTATCATTACTGAGTTATCCATCTGACGATACTAGAGATAGTATTGAGCAACTGGTAAGGGGAGGGATGTGCTCATGGTGTGAGGAAATACATACTTAGATTCGACAATATGAGATGCCATCTCTTGAGAAGGAGGAGCCAATGGTGATGATGGAGGGAGAGGATGATTGGAAAGCACAATTGGACAATCTAAAGAAGGAATTGGATGAGGTCATATCCTATTAACATCTCTGACAAGATCCTTGACAAGTAGATATATGCCTCATTTGCTGATACATCACGTTTGGACAATTCCGATATATCAGCAGCAGCAGCAGATGACGGTAAGGGAAGTACCAAGGGCAGTGCAGAAGTAACAGCTGATATCAACCAACTGAGGAGATGTTGTTGTATTTAGATATCTGATACCACACTTATGTTATCAGAAGGAGACTCTACCTCCTTTACAAGTACTGAGCTAGCAGCTGCTATCGCTGAGGTCACAGCTGGAGTATCTGGTCACTCCTACCTTGGTGGTGAATCATTTGATGTGGACTTGTCAGCATTCGATATATCAACTATTTAGTATTTGCTGCTCATTCTCTCATAGACAATCGCATGGTATAATTAAAAGCACTACTGTCATCATCATCCACCATTGATTTATCTTGTACATGGTATGGCAGTGGTATGTCTATGAGCTACTAACTCTATGAGCTTGTGTTCATATATTCTACCTTATACTCTTCACTGCAGAACAGGCTGTAATTCCGCGTTTGAGCGTTTCTAATAAACTAGACTACTATCGATATATACTGTAAACTAGCGAATGATAGTATTAATATACATATTTATCGGCTAATAATATCGAAATGGAATATTCATGGGCAATCGACAGCCTCAATACCTCTCGTTTGCTAAGCGACCCCTCTTCATTATTTGAGTTCGTGCTTGCTATGGTGGCACATAGCAAGCACATAGCTACTATAATCTGACGGGGATACACGACATTAGAATCGCTTGCAAAGTCATCAGCTGAGAAAATGCCGAGGGTGAGGGTTGAACTCGAGTGGTTCGAATGCTAAGCCTGGACAACAACCTGCATAGCTATATACTTAGAGGATTGTTAAGGGAAGTGTAGTTGCCAACATACATCGTCTAGCGTCATGAACCTAACACATTATAACAACTACGTAGATTGCGTTACGGGTGGTATGCATGCCATCAGCATCCCACTCCGGGATCATCAAATACTTGGTCCAGTTAATTGATAAGTCTGTGTCTGCAACAAGCACTGAGATAATGTCAACCGATTCATCTGGTACTGATAGGCTCCTGTGCGAGTATGCCTATCACTATTACTTGCTATGATACATAAATCGGGGTATCTAGTCATGATAGCTGTTACCACAACTCGTCCACATTAAGTGTTTATCCATTAATGTTTCATATCCACAGTAACTACTCCGCTATACATTGTTATTACTACCAGTATTATTATTCCGTATGCTTATGTCCGTATAAATGGCAGTCTATCATCATACATTATTATCATTGTGCATGATAATACTCATGTTTAATGTAGATCAAACCTTGGCTTATGATGATGATGACAGATGTCTAGGAGCCGCAATAGTAGCACGAGGGGATATAAGGAAACCTGATGGTCCTGCAGTGGTAGTATGGGTATGGTATTCATATTACTCAAGTGTGGTATTGTTGTGATATGGATTATTACTCCCTCCTTATTTATACCATTATCAGACCTTATTCCACTTCAATACGGTATCCCCGATTGTTCGATCGTCCACTCCGTTTATGTTGCATGCATCGGTACTGTCTGTTGGAGAGGGCCCATACTGGTCCCCTGCACCCCTGCCGCAAGGCCTTAGCTGTACTAACCATATATGTTTCGACAATCTATCAGTTCTTATCAGGTCTATCATACGACAAGTCCGTTACAGAAAGCATATTCCCCTTCAAAGAAAGGCTTCTTAGTAGCCTACCGAATACATTCAAATTGTCTAATAATATATCAGCCATCATCGTAGGTATAGTTCTAATAAGATTACTGCTTATCACTATTCCTAGGTCCAAAGCCCAGATGTTGCATCAGCAACTGGTATGCCATTATCAAGACTAATATCCGAGTTAGCTGCCAGGGATGATACAACTGATGTCCGAAATAAATACGGATGTCAGAGGCTATTATCATATACCCAAACCCAGAAGGGTGTTACTGTAAGCATAATCATCGAATATATTATTATCAGTTATTAGTAATTATAGATACTAGCCGAGTCATGTTCACTACTATCCCCTATGTGCCATATACACCACCTGAAGGGGCCAACACAGACTTGTGCGCTCGAGCACCAACGGAGGGGTATGACTTGTGATAGTTACATGAGTATCCTTGTTGTCAGATATAGCTAATGAAGGTGCTCATAAGCAACTCTATGCTACCCTCAATGCATCGATAGGTACAGTTGAATGGTAGTGGAGTAATATACTCTAATTTTTGCCCTTGATGTTAGATGCCCCAGTAAGAGCATTCGAATGGTTACCATCAGAGCTGTTCGTAGACCCTGATGAGCTATATGATCATAGCATGATGGGTACATATCCATTGGCGAGAGTGGTAATAACAACAATAGCCGTATCGGTAATAGTGCAGCATGTCGTTGTTATCAGGATATAGAGGTACCATCCTTTATGAACTACCCCTTGCCAGTTATCACTGATACGTAATAACTATTATCACTACTATTATCAGTCATATTAATAATGCAAGGTACCCTATACCAGTACATACACGTTATACTAGACCAGACTGCCAGAAGCCCTTTGAAGTTAATAGGTCACAGCTGGATGCTCATAGATGCCAGGGCTACTATCGTAATAATAACAAGTATAAAATACCTATTATATGTTTTATCTTCATTAGATGCATGGCTTGGATCTCCTATATGGTTTGCTACTAGTAATACAACATCATGTGCTGCGGAAAAGGGTAATGTATTTACCGAACTTGGTATAGCAGAGGATAGCATAGTAAACACCATGTACTCCATCATCATACAAGCAGGCTCTCAACACACCAATCGTGTTGTACCATTATCCGTAATAAGACTAGTATCATCATTATCATCGTTATTATTATGGGTATGTATTATAACAGGTTATGCCTGCTGCCCCAATAGATTTATCAATACCTAGTGGTAATACTGAGGTAATACACCTTCGTATAATATTGGGTATTAATATTATCAACAGATACGTGATGTAGTACTATGGTCATCAGCATGTATAGTAGTACTGGCTACTATTATTGTTATTAATACTATTATCAAGGCATTATCATTACAATCTACAGTCAAGGATACTAAAAAGAAGGAGGAGTAGTTATATGATACAACAACGACAAGAGTGTATCATCATTACTACGACCAGTGTGTGTTTGATCCCTCTCGGGTAGTGTTGTTTGCCTCTCTGTATTATCCTTTTAGTATTATTGTATAATGCTGACCTCATATTACTTATCAAGATGGGGTACACCCTTTACCCCATCAGGATGCTCCTCATGTGAGATATGTTGTGAAGGATTTACTCCTATCAATCGACGCCCTATGGTAGGTAACAACAACATGATATCCTTACTACTTATAAGGTAGAGAATAAGTCATCATATTGCAGGTATTGGTTAATTGTGGTCATACCCTATGCGAGATATGTCTAGATTCTCTTGTTGCTCATTCTTTGGAAGATCCTTCTAACAACAATGATGTATATGATCCCGATACTGGTATGAATAAGCTGAGCCCTGATGTTACTATTAGATGCCCATTCTGTCGGTAATAGCAGTACTACTAGTATCATCATCATCAATACTCATTGGTATTCAGGGAGAGAACAGAGATTGCTGCAGTTAGGCCTAATTATGTATTGATACAAGGCAATCAACACCATCAATCTCGAGGAAGGTATTGAAGAACTTTAGTATTATCGATAGCATATCCTTCATATTCAGTCATATGGGTTATGAAGGTAGAATAGTAAGATGGTCCAGGGAATGGGTGGATTGTATTAATGAGTATATACCAGTAAAGGACCTATGTTGTGAGTTCAAGAGAGCTAGAATACCTACTGATAATGATAGTAGCAGTAGTAATAGTAGTAGTCGTGGAGGATGAGAAGGAGAAGGAGGAAGAGGAGAAGGTATAATACGCCAACTTGGACTTGATGATGATGATAGCATCAAGCAGAGCAGCAGACAGATAGATAGACGCAGCATGATTGATGATGAAGTAGGGTCTTATCTATTCACAAGGAGTTATATTGCTCTGTATAGCAGCACAGATCTACTACTACTAGTATAATCATAACGATAGTAGTAGGTATCATTAACAACGTCTCCACCACGATTATACGTTATTACTTTGTACTAATAATAACTGGTTATGATCAACATTATCACCAGTTCAATTTCTATTTCTCCTCCTTGTCTTCGGATGTCCACTGCTCCTGTCGTTTCTGAATCTGCTCATACCACTCCTCCACCAACTTTGGAGTATATATCGTATAGAGATGAGCACGATCTAGAAGCATTGAATGAGCTTATAGAGAAGGATTTATCAGAGCCCTATTCAATATTCACTTACCGCTACTTCCTCAATAAATGGCCAGAACTATGCATCATGGTAATAACTGGCTATTAGCCTTCTTGATCATCATTATCATTGTATGTAGTGTATCGATCGGTGCGTGGATAAGATAATAGGATGTGTAGTATGTAAATTGGATGAGCATCATCCCAAGTTGAATGATACTACTAATAATGATGTAAAGCAGCAGCAGCAGTCTACTCAAAGAGGGTACTAATGGTTACAGTAGTGGCTAGTATCATATTAATACTATAGTTACATAGCAATGCTAGCAGTAGAAGCCTCGTATCGTGGTCAGCATATTGCATCGCATATGGTACAATTAGCATTGGAAAGGATGCATCAGATGGGTGCTGATGAGGTAGTACCGGGGATCGAACCTGTGCCTCCTCCTCCTCCTCCTGCCTATCCATCCCCCCTCAGTGTGTACTTGAAGCTGAGATCACTAATACAGCTGCATTGGGACTATACAGGAAGCTGGGATTCATTAAGACCAAGCGTTTGACCCGGTAATAGTAGTGGTCAAGTATAGGAATAATTATATGCTATTAGATACTATCTTAATGGCTCCGATGCTTATAGACTCAAGTACTTCTTCATGGAAAACCCTACTACTACTAATGATGAGGAGGAGAAAGATAAGAGTGATAATATCACTACTACTGATAAAGCTATAGATGATAATAAGACTACTGATGATACTAAGCAAGAGTAATAGAAGTTACTATCATCACGATAGTGTTGTTTACTTATTGTTCATTGTGTTGTATAGTATGAATGCTGATGGTTAATATGTGATAGTGATTATTATTATTGTCAATGACCACCTCGAAAAGCAGTAATAAAACCCCTGATCGAGAGGGTAATGGGAGTAGGGTTATCCCTATGGATGAGAACACACAACGTGAATTCATTAAGAATATGAACAACATCATACAAGAGTAATACTACTATTACTAGTGTCATCAATACCAACCTCCATTATAGGTGTACGAAGCGATGGCGGGAATATGAATTGATGTTTACTATGTTGTGCATGGGATGGTATGGAACTGCAATAATACAGCAGGTTACTGGTATTCATCTAACAGTAGCACTACAATCTAATTCTGCTGTATTATCACTAGTAGTATTCATCCTGTTACCCTATAACTATCTATAGTTCCTTATGTCAGTTAGTAGGCTTCTTCGCATCACCATCATCAACATTAATATCGTCATCATATTACTACCTACCAGTTACATTACTAGGTTGTGGTCTTCTCTTACGGGCACTTAATAGAACCTATGATATATCTATAATGGATCACGAGGAAGCTGTAATAAGACGAAATGAGGAGTATAATGGTAAAGACCCTAGTATCATTAGGGATAGTATAATACCGATTGGTATATACATATTATCATGGATAATATCTATATGGTAATAATAGTGTATTATTATCACTGATCATGATCATGGTTATTAGGATTTGTGCTGATGGTACTGGTCCTAGAGCATCATCTTGGGTACTATTATGTGCACCCCCGGTTGGAGTATTGTTTGCCAGCTATGTCCAACATGCGATATACGATGCTCATTTGTAATAATGTCATACCATCCATTGGCATTATCGTGTTGTTCATATCAGAGGTCTCGTCAAGTTGAGTCAACTCAAGTATAGTGAGGAGAAGCAGGAGTAGTGATACTAATAACTCAGATGATGACGCTCTTATCGTTGATACAAGCATTTGTGTTAGAGTATTATCATGTTATATATTCACAATGTTTATCAGTTATCAATGAATCATTATGGCCATACACAGACGGTTAAGGAGTAGATACTTAACCTTGGGAATATTGCTTGTCATCACCTTATTAGCAATCCTCAATATCCAAACTACCTACACATGGTGTAAGAGTCTATTACTACTAGCAACATCTACTACCCCAGACACTACCCTACATACATGCCTCTCTGGAGATAACTGTGCACTAGTCAACCTGCAGTTCACTACTAATAATGTTATGAATGATGATGATGATGCTTATGGTAGTAGTAGTATTATCACATTACCAACATCATCATTACATAAGAACATCACATCATCGGGATATGTGGTATCTGATTCCACATCTAATGATCGTAGAATGGCAGCGGGGTTTATAGCACTGTGGGCTGCTGCTACTGCTGCATTGAGAGGGAGTCAGGATACTGCTATATCATCATCATCATCACTGCTTGGTAACCATCTTGGGGACGATCGTCGTCCTATCATGTTTTACAGCTCACAGGTGTTACCTATTACAACAGCGATAGTTATCGATGCTTGTCGTAGGTACCACAATGTAAGTATGTATTATCCAAATTAAGGGATAGTGGTGTAGTAGTGGATAAGCCTAGGATATTGGATGTATCTGTGAACCCTTTGAACGAGAGGTTATGGCGGCAGGCATCTCATATTCTATGTGGTCATGGTAAACTAACTCTACCTATCATGTAATATTATCAACAATACTAACATTACTTTAATAGTAGATATGATCCAATGTCTGGTTATGCTCTATGTGGTGATCCTGATATACTATCCCTTATACTGTGGAGTAGAGGGTGAGTAGTAGTAGTTATATCCTTATAGTAGACATGATAGTAACCTTAGATACCAGCAAGCTATGCCTAATAGATTCATTAAGCATTTCAGAGGTAGTGGACAACGACGACGACGACATGAAGAAGATGATGATGATGGGGAGGAGTATAATGACTTGGGCCCTGATGATATCGAGAAGAGGAGTGCTATACAGTGGTTACGTATTATTGCTCAATCATTGGGTCTATTAGGTAGATAGCAATTAGAATTCCTAAAGTTACTTTAATACGATGCTTTGAGTGGTTAAGTACTCAAAGGACAATATGATGTAGTTCATTCTTGACTGTGGTAGAGGGAGAGAGTGTTGGCGGCCACTGTCGTCGTCGTTATAATCATCATCCACATTATTATTATCATTAACAAGGTTTTCCACTATGTCCAGGTTGATAGACAGTATAGGTCGATTTATTATATCATCCCCTCATCATCTGTGGCTACTATCTCTAGCATTATGGATGTCTGGTATGGTATGGTTATCAATGTTCCATCAACTGGATAGGTAACATTATCATTATCATCATCATTGGTATACCTCTTCTCCTTCTTTATTATTATCATCACTATCATCAGGCCTACTGAGATTGAGGAGCATTCATTACTCCCTGGGTTAGCATCATTTGGTTTGGATAATCTAACAATGTAATGATAATAACACTACTCATACTAGTATCATCATCATCATGAATAGTATCATATCAGGTATGAACAATCATTACGTAGGTATAGTAATAATGAGGATGATGAGAACGGTATTTATGGAGTGAAGACATATCAATTCACAAGTACTACTACTGCTATGGATATCAACAGCCGCAATACACACTACCTTAGATTCATCCATACCATTCTCAATGATCACGAGCAAACGCGGTGATGGTCGAGAAGCAGTTGTAGTGGTAAGGCGTCACTATCGTCAACACAATCAGGTCCGATGGTCAGGTGGTAACCGGCGATGCTAGGCATGCTGAGGCCTTGGGTTCTACCCTCACGAGGTTCTTTACCACAGTCGAGTGGCTGTCTAAGGACGTTATAATACTATTTTCCACCAACTTGAGGCCAGCATCATATGCCTCCGGTGTTCGGAAATGGCTACGTGAATAGTAATAATGTCAACAACTACTCGGATATGAGGTTCGTTGTCAGCAGTTCAAGCACTCAAGGATGGGATCACCCTGATGATAGTAATGATGATGATTATGATATACCATCAATCGGTATTATACGGCAATGTATAGTTGTTAATGTTACCTTGGAAAGGTGAGGAGGGTGACTATGATAGTAATAATACTACTATCATTGACTATGTTCAGAGGAGATGGTGTGTTAATAGAAGTGGATGGTATCAACGGTATGCAGCCTAATCAAGACTGGCCCAATGCCTATATTATTGAGGCTAGACGTGAGACATTCCATTACTATCATCATCATCATCATCCATTATCATCATACCTTTAGGGAGTGGTATTAGTCATATTCAAGTGGTTGATGTATGGGAATCTGTTATGAAGCAAGCAAGGAATGGTAATGTACATTCATTACATTCACCATTCCTATCGCAACAAATACCAGCATTCACTGTAACGACCTTTGCTGCTACTAATATGTGGAATATGGCTAAGTCAATTGAAGGTAATATTCAAGATAGTATATCAAGTTGGGTATATCAATATGTGAACAGGTATCGTACATTCTTCATCATCAATGCTACAACAACTTCATCATAGTTTTAATGTATACTTTTATAATACTCCAATTACCCACGTCTCCAATGGCATATTCCTATATCCTGTCATTGCCATTATTGCACCATTAATAGTGAGAGCATTCCCTATAAGGAAACGAGTAATGAGAAGTAAGTAATGTATTATGCTAATGTGTCCCATCGTCTTAGTCTCTACCATCATTCTTAACGTCTATAACACTGGCGTTATCCTTCAACTTAATAGTTGGCTCTCCTCTATTCTTGTTACTCATCAATAGTGTCAAGGATTCACAGTGTAGAGGTGACCAATTAGGTAGTATGGGATCGTATTGCGGTATTCGATTCAGTTATGCATTTAGATGATGATAGTAACCACTACCATGTATGGTATTATGGTCTAGCACTATCATTGGGAATGATAGTACTTATGTCAATGATATATCGGCATGTACAGTATAATGATAAGGGTAGGGATATTTGTGTGTAGGAAGAATTGACCAATAATTCGTATCAGATACTTTTATTAGTATATCATCGGCAACCTCCCTCGTATACCTCACTATGTTATTACCACTTATACTAATCAATTGGTAATTATCATTATAAACCCTATCATCTCCTCTATCCATGTACAGGTCATTGGCCGTTCCAACAGTACTCTTAGTCGTACCCCTCATAGCATTCAGTCGCCCATGCCATATTCGACATATCATCACCGTCATCATCCTAATATTATCATCCATTACATTATTACGCTACTACAGTATACATACCGTATTGGATGAAGTTCGAGTGTGGTATCACGAAACTCTTCTGCCATTATTGTCCCTTCGGACACAGAAATATATGCCTACAAAACTTATTGATTTTCTAGCAACTTCCTCATCATTTGATCATATTAGTAGTGCAGAGGTAAGCCCGTGTCCCTATTCTGAGTGATCTGATGCGACATTATCATCAGATGTTATATACCGCAGCTAAGGATTGGGTATGTGTACGTGGCCTGTTGCTACCGGTCATTTGTTATATCTGGCTACCAGCGATAGCGTATTGGGGTATGATAACATTTGGCATGAGAGTGAAAGAAAGGTCAGGCGTTTAAACTCATTAAGGTTGATGTATCATAACCTATTCTATAGTGATAACGACAATGATGTGGTGGAGGGGCGGAAAGGGCTGACTCATTATGCATTGCGAGATGTTATCATATTATTCATCGTAATCATCATTATGGGTATCGGAGGAGGTAGGAAAGAACCCGTTCGTACGAGTACGATCATTTGGTCCTTATTAGGGATATTATGGCGAAGCACAAGCAGTGCCGGCCTTGGCGACTTTAACATATAGTTACATTTAATGCATTCATATCATTGACGACAATAAATCCTTCGTTGTGTTAATAAGCACCCAATGCTGCATATGAAATTCCGTTGGATATGGACAACATTTTAAAAGCAACACGTATTGATCGAGGAATGGAACATCATGCACGGATGAACCTTCAGACAGAATAAGTGATGAATGGTCCCTGGTCGTTAGATTCGAAGCACATCAATCATTTGATATTGCTATTATTCACAGGTGGATGCTAGTGATCCATATCTAAGATACTGATAGTATGATTGTAACACAATTGAGTAGGAAAAGGAATGTATAGATTACACACTTGATGATGAACAACACGCAGGGAGTGGAGTATTCGAAGCCAATTCATATGATATCCTCATACATCGCACTGCTGCATCAGCCTTCGACACTCATTATATAGCTGCAAACCCTCTTTAGAAAGTGATAGGTATATAAGGGACATAGCATCACAACCAACAATACTAATCGACCCCTCTTTTGAGTGCATGGTTGGTAACCTCAGCGGATCATATTATTGTAGGAACCTGTGAGATAGGTCTACGGTCTCTTCATATTCTACCATAGTTGATATGGTAACTCGTGGATAACCCATCAAACTAACGCTACTAGTGTAACACAACAATGTTATTCTTAATATTATTATTAGTGGCCATGGGACTATATTTTTACGCTGATGAGCAGTCAACGAGGGACAGAATGATACCCTGTTTGTGGTACCCTCTTGGTACAGAATTGACTTTGGATCAAAAGAAATCGGTACCGGGTCCACTTACGTTGCTCTATCCCGCGCCCGCTCATTATCAAGTTTTGTTCTGGATGTCGCCGATCAACGAAACTTGAGACTGGCGAGATGGAATAGAGTTGGAAAAGGGAAGGGTATTGAAGAAAGACGCGCCTTTGAGAACCGACTACGGGGCATGGCTACTGGTTAACCCCGCTGAATTCTGTTGCTGCTCCATGATAGATGTTTTTAAATCAGATGTTACATGTAAGACAACTTTTTGCTTTTAGTCGCCTAATTTCCAAAATAATTTCAATAACAGCCCGCTGAATTCTTGATAAGAAGCTCAGCGAGCTCCGCCCCTTCGCACCGAAGACCTAGTACTAATCGACCCCTCTTTTGAGTGCATGGTTGGTAACCTCAGCGGATCATATTATTGTAGGAACCTGTGAGATAGGTCTACGGTCTCTTCATATTCTACCATAGTTGATATGGTAACTCGTGGATAACCCATCAAACTAACGCTACTAGTGTAACACAACAATGTTATTCTTAATATTATTATTAGTGGCCATGGGACTAGCAATTTTAGACCAGTTCAACTTTACCTTCTTCTACATAACGTTTCACCACATCATAACCCACTATATAGGTCCTCCCTTTGATAAGCTGCATATCTATGTAATCTCTAGCTGCCCTATACTAATAACAATATTCATCATACAGTATACTATCACTATTACTTATTCCAAACCCTAATACTATTCCCTATTCCACCATCACTTGATAAATCATCTACTATCTTAGCCACAACAGTCGTAGTATCGATATTAGGTGTACGTATCATATTACCCATAGTGTCACATGGGTTATCAAGGCTCTGACCATGATCATGATGATGATAGTGAGCCTATGTATGATAGAGTAGTAGTAGTAGTAATGATATTACAGTAAAGGGCTCGAAACCTGGTCCAGCAGGCATTGTATGTAGGAATGATTCATTCATATGTTCTTCTGTCATTTTAGTGACACTGATATTAATCATCAGCTACTTACTAAACCAATGACTACTACCCTTCAGTGAACTTCCTTTCTAATGGGCTGAGCCTGTCTAGATGATACCTGACGACCAGTAATAATAACTATTATCAATATTACTAATACTTAAGATAATATAGAGGATACTTCTGTAGTTTCCATAGCCTCTGACGTAGATATGATTTTACCATGTATTGGGTCCTCATTAACTAAGGGAGATGGATATCGCTATTACCCCATACTAATAGTATTACATCAATTCTCATAACTTCCAACAACACATCATCATTCTGGCCAGGTCTTTCGATATTATCATGCTGTAACATAATTGGTTATGATGATAATAGTTATACTCCTTACCATAGCATCCATAGCTTGAGTTACATCACTAATAAGCTCATTCTCATATAGTAGGATCTCAGGGCATCTTAGTTCCTGTTTATAGGCTCTTCCTATCCAATAACATCAATAATAATGATGCTATTCATGATATAATTACTCATCCTAATTAACAATACTCCTCCATCACCATCCTTACTATGCCCACCATCCTGACTACTATACTGTGATGATGATGATGATGACATAATAATGGACTAGTATCAGTAGTATTGACATTACTATAAACATAACATTGCTAAGTAGTACATTGATAACTTCTACTTAGGGGTATATTTGGCAGTCTGTATAAGTGTAGTTAGCTCAGGTTGATAATCCTGTTTATTACTACTCTCTAGTATAACCTTAATACGGCCCTTAACAGCATCTACCATACCAGGGTATTCCCTTAGTTCATACGATAAACCAGCCAATATCTCATAATATTGTATATCACCAATAGTAGTAGTAGCTTTATACAATTGAATCAATGCCTCAGCAATATCATGAGAATCTACTATAGTAGCCCTACCATCAGCCAAAAGGTATCTATACAGACTAGCAACCTTCTGTTGTACTCTGATAGAATAGTCATTAGTAAGTAGATGAGCTATCAACTGAGTACCATTAGTAGTAATAAAAGCTGATTCAGCTTGAGGATAGTTACGTATTAATGCTCCTAATGCACTCAATAATGGTGCTATCTCTTCATCATTATGTGATGACATCATCAAGTGTTGTATTCTAATAAGTAGTTTATTCAACCCATCATACTTGATAAAACACGCCTCCTGTACTTGTGTATTATTAGATAACATCAATGCCAGTAACTCTGCAGCCTGAATCCTCACAGTAGTATCCAACATAGTAGTAGTAGCAAGATATAATAGAGGCTGAGTACCACCCAATATCTCTAAATTCCTAGGACAATCAGGAAAGTCTGTACATCTATCCATTAACGACAATGCAGTGATAGCTTCAGCACATAGTTCTGGATTAGTCTTATCACCATTATCAGCTGATGTAATAATAGTATTCAACTTAGTAATAGACTCCTTCATAAGATCATTAGGATTCTCTTGTGTACCTGAGTACACAGTCACTGCTTTTACACTATTACTACTATCCTTACCTAATGTCTCCTCAATAGCCTTTTGTAAGAACTCTCTTCGTTCATCAGACATAGGCTGCATAGTACTAGTGTTAGTATTATCATGATACTTAGTTGACCATGCTAATAGACCTGACCAATCAACTCCTCCTAGTGATGATGATGATGATGATGAAGACATGGTAACTACCAACTACATCACAACATGGTAGAGGACAACAACACATCTTGTATGTGTTCAAAGGGGATAGTAATGCATATTAACCTCTCCAAGATGGATACCACTAAACGCAATCATCGATAATAATCACAGCGTTGGAATATACAAATCCTGCCGATCTAAGTCCTTACAGAAGAAGGTCTAATATTGAGAAGTGGTCATTTTCCGGACGGAAAAACATCAAGTGCCGGGATCGAACGTGCACCAGGTGGTAGTGAAGGGTATTATCATAAACTACTATCGCTACTGCTATCACTATACACAGTTCTCATGTCTCTAACATTATCATTGTAGGATTATCATCACTTGTAATGGATCCAGTAGTAGGTGGTGGTTGTGGTGGGGGTAGTAAGCCCTCATCTAGTACAGCAGCAGCATTGATAGCTGCTGGTAATGATGAGAAGAATGCTACTACTGCTAGTTTAGAGTTGGCAGCAGCATTACATCAATCTATGAATAATGATAATGCTACTACCAATACTAATACTGGAACCACTACTGGTATCAATGATATGCATTATCAGTTGAGGTGATGGTCCTATCAGATAATGTGATGTTACCTCATATTGGGTATGATGTTAGTCATCATCACTTACCCCCAGGTCTTCCAATACCATCTGATACTAATCATGTAATTCTATCATACAGTTTTATATGTATATACTATTATTATAGGATACTACGGGTAATAACACTCCAGCAGTATGCCCTACTACTGATAACATGTCCCCTATAGTAGAAGTTGCCTCTACCCCTGGTGCACTAGGCCTCACAGTAAGGTCTTCATAGTACTACTCACTATACATTATAGAGTAGGTACAGCCACCACCACCACCACCAACAGCAAATATGGTAATGATTACCAGTGGTAGTACTACTACATCAAGAGATGAGGATGATGATCTAGTGAGCACTAGGTTGGAGTTGTATGAGAGTAGGAAGACATTGGAAAGTAATAATAGGTATTAGATTACTAGAGGGATCCATGTTAACAGGATTAATGTTCGAGAACAGTGAGTTACAACGCCTTATCGAACAATTGGAGGTGGAAGTCCATAATCAAAGACAGCTCAACTCAAACGGTATGCGTGGATATACCGGTGGGGGATTGGTACTAACAAAAGGAGGAGCTGGTGGTGGTGGTATTGTAGTATTATGTTGTATGTTATAGTAGATACCTAGAATGCAACAGGATAAACGATTAAATGAGGATCTTAGAGATTTACAACAAGAGTTTGATAGGGTACAAGAAGAAAAGGGCGAGATGAAGAAAGTGTAATAGTATAATAATAAAGAATATGATGAATATTCAAGATAGATACTCTGAACAAATACAACAGTTAACACAATTATTAAGTTATGCTGCACTAAAGCTACAACAACAACAAGAACAACAACAACAACAAGTGGTTACTAGCCCTATTGTTATGCAACAACAACAACAAACTCCTAATACTCATCATATGGGTATTCTATATATTATCACCACACACTACGTATAGTACTTAGATATAACTCAACCTCAAGCTCATCATCATGCTACTACATCATCATCATCATCAGGGGTAGTAGCAACAGCAGCAGCAGCAGGCCATTCTGGCGCCATGGGTAATGTAGTATTGTCATCTTCATCATCACCAGGTAGTAGTGATTATAAAGAATAGTGTATAATATAGTAGTTCTGAGTAGCTACTACTTAGATACTGACTTGAATAAGGCATTATTAGATTCAAGAGATGCACTACAGACCCAGTTAGTAGCACGTGATGCTGAGATAGATGCATTAACTAAACATTATACACATCTTAATGATAATTGCTTATTCTATCAACGTCGATTAGCACAGTTTGAATATGATATCAATAATGATATACTTCAAACTAATGATGATGGTGATAAAGAGGAGGTATATCTACTATTATTAATCGAGTTTATTGATAGTAGTATAAGTAGGTGATTATGATGAATGAAGATGTAGGAATAACAACACCTGAGGACCTTATCAAGAGGATAGATGATCTACAGGGGCATATAAGGTAGTAATCATGGTGGTAGATGGGTGATGATGATAATGATGATGTGCAGGGATGCGGTAAAGAGAGAGAGGGATAGAGCAGCTAGACTTACGGATGATAATAATGTCTTAAAGGCTGAGATCAAGCATATGCAAGAACAGCAACATGATGATGATAATAATAGATCATTATCAATTGATTTACAAAACAGTAGAGATAAATTATCATTAGCAGAGGATAGGATAGAATTGTTAGAACAGTAATATTCATTATTATTATCATATGTATTAAGGTAGTTTATGATAATGGTGATATTAGGTATATCAAACAACAATCTATACGTCAACGTAAGGGGATTGATAATACTGATGATAATAATGAAGTAGGAGTTAATAAGGATGTACTATATACCCTCTTTATGATCATATCATTGTCATACTCTCCAGCATATCAACAACAACGATGACAATGATGATAATGGAGTGAGTAATATGGCATCATTAAAGCAGTGTATAGCAGCTACAACTACAGAGTTACACTCGACTAAAGAGATGTTAGTAAAGAGTGAACGGAGGTGATGATGATGATGTGCATGATGATGATGCTTATCATTATTAGTACTACTACCGAGTCTATGTAGATACCGATGTTTATTGGATGCATGTAGAGATGTACAGAGTGTAATAGAATCAGAATATCCTCATCTCATGCCTATACTATCACCAGTACATATTTATTATTACTAATATCATTATATAATCTTGTTCTTATTATTATCAGATATTACACCAACAAGCAACATCAACTACTACAAGCTGGAATCCCTATACGTCAATGCTAGGTACTATCTCTAAACATTATCATCTTGGTGGTCTTAGTTGTACTGATGAAGGTTCTTTAGATGATACCTATGGTTCAGCACGAGGTATGGTTCAGCAACAACAACAAGAACAACAGTTGTTGTCAGGAAAGGGGTCTATAGTGGATAGAAAGCATACACATTCCCCTAGTATAGATAGGTTAAATGCATTGAAGAGATCTATAGCACATAGCTTTGCTCAATGTGAAAGGAGGATACTAGCATTGTAATATCAATAATAATAAACTATAGTACTTAGGATGATAGATTAATGTTAGGGAGGATAAGATAGATGTGGATACTAGCGATGATGTAGATAGTCCTTCTACCTACTCCCCCCTACCACCCTCATCACCATCATCATTACCCATAATGATAAGACGTTGGGTTGGTAACGATCTGGAAGATATCTACCATATGGTAATAATACTAACTCTAATATAATCAGTACTTCTCTCGTTGTTGAATCTTGCTAGTTCACCATACTCCCAGGATTAGTACGATCCTTATTGGACATATGTACAGAGGCATGTATAGACAATGCTAAACTAGCTTCTATAACAAGTAGATCATCAGGTAGTAGTAATAGTAGTAATAGTAGTAATGGTGATACGTTGTTATTATTATTGTTCTCAAGGTGATAATGATGGTGTACATGGGTATGACGATGTTGTTAACAATAGAGTTCTTGTTGTTCATAGAGAAGAGATAACTATGTTAAAGGAGCATATAGCATCATTGAATGATAGGCTTACCGATCTAACTCAGTTGAATGCCTTCACATCTGGTAATAGTAGTGCTTAAAATAGTGTTTATCATACTACTTCTATTATCATCTAGATATGAGGTCTAGAACTTATAAAGGCTATTTCACACGTAGGAATAAGGATAGTCACAGTAATAATAATATAGATGATAATGATGATGATGATGCATCATCATCATCATCTACATCATTGGAGGATGTAGTAATATCCCTTATTATTTTATACTAATTATTATCATAGGCTGTTATGTTGGAGCGTGAGGAAGTATTAAAACAATGTCAATTGAAAGCAGTAGAGGGTGGTGAAAGAATAGAAGATCAACTTGTAGATGCCTTACGACAGGTAAGTAGTAGTGTTATCACTACTCCCTCTTTAGGATTAGCTGGTAGTATTATTAGGTAATATATGCCCAACGTAATGGTGAGGAAATAGATAGACGATGTAAGCTAGTGATAAGGAACCTTAATGAGAGGATCAATCATTTGGAGACGGTTATAGTGGCTATGAGGGTTAAGGCTTGTCAACATCAACAACAACAATAGGGAGAAGATATAAAGATTGACAAGAAGAAGAAGAATAGAAGCAGTTGATAATCGTTGTATTGATTGTACATAATCTTTATTTTGTAGGCATTATATCGATTGATGATGATGATGATGATGAACATCATCATCATCATGCTTGTCCATTTAGATTATCCATCTCTACCATAATTCAATGACCAGCAGCAGCACCAGCACCATTAACAACAACAAGAACTATAACAATATCCTGCCAATCCTATCATCATCCTACCGCATCTGCCTCTATTCACATTTACGTGATACCTTTGATAATGCGCGTGACAAGTTTCTGTATTTAATATTAAGCTTTAGTTTGGGGGGATAGTTATACCTATACTCTGTTTTTATTAATCTCTTAATTTTTATCATAATCATCAGCATACTAAATATACCTGCCTTCTGATACATAGGTAAGGCGGGCTAGTGGTAGGCCTCAACTCTATCACCTCTATGGCGATAGGTGTAATTGACATTAGATTCGCATCACCAATCACTAACCTCGATTTACCACTTCTACTACTACTACTACTACCATCATCAGTAATGACGATTGGTATGGTATCCACTCGGCAATATAATCTTTCGACATCATCATCATCATCATCATCAACAACTGATGCACTTGTATGCAGTTGGAGAAGCTGTTGCTGTTGTTATGAAGGATACGTTAGATATCTAGTAGGGCGCCTCTTTATGACGATAATTAACACTATTCATTATACCACACCTCTTATCACATATGCTTACTGTTATTTCTATCATCATTACTACTCTTGAGATGATATGAGGGATATGGATAGCAGGAGTTTTTTCTCTCCCTATCAGTTTTCTTCTTGTTTATCTCTACTACTCTGTGTTACACTACTAATGCCAACACCTCTTCGGAGAGACAGCAGTGATACCGTTAATAGCCCTACTACTACAACAGCAGGGATACATCATCACCATCCTCTCTCTAGGAGTAGGACATCATCATCATCATTATCTGATAGTAGGCATCATTATTATTGTGATGATAATGATGCTAGAGATATGATGATGAGGATGAGGGAACATAGGAAGAATATAACATTTACTAAGGCCCCTATTAGGACTACTCTTAATCTACTACACTTCCTAGCTAGGTAATAATAATAACAACATCATCACCTTATATATCTTATTACCTCTCCTCTAGGTCTATCCATTCAGCATTAATGTATGTAGCAGCCCATGCCTTTACTCTGTAGTCTTCAACCTCAACCTTCTGATACTTACTACTTATATAGGTACATCATTATACCCTTTATGTTGTTATGGATGTTAGGACGATTCTATGATGGTCCTCATCAATATGTGCAGGATGATATATCTACCTGGTTCCAGTTTATAATATGGTACTACTACTACTAGTGTTGTTGTTGTTGTTGATCTTATTATACTATCA